ATCCGACTTCCGATTCGGAAGTTATGGCGTTTTGAAAGCTCAAAAATCGCTAAATTTGGTGCCTATGTTAAGTCAATGGGAAAAAAGACTTTTTCGAAGTGTAAAATACAGGATATAGACTGAGTACAGCTTAACATAATGAATGCTTATAAAAGAAGGGGACCTCAAAAGCTATCTAGTTTCAAAATTTTGTCACCAAAATGCCTAGGTCAAATTCTAGGTCAAATTCATAGTGTTTCCTTATTTTTACGATTCTGACACTACACTTTAATAATTTACTTCCAAATTTTGTATACAGGTAGCAAAGAGTAAGCTTATAGTGTTACCCTTTTGCCGTCAGAAAGTATTTTGACCCACTTTTGAGATATGGTGTCCGAAAAGTAGGTCAAAATAAAAAGTTCTCCAGATCCAACATATGAGTTATGAATTAAGGGTAGAATTTTCTCAGGAATCCGAATCTGCAAACCAAATTTCGATCCGACTTCCGGTTCGGAAGTTATGGCGTGTCCAAAAAGTAGGTCAAAATAAAAAAATTCCAAATTTAACGTATGAGTTATGAATTAGGGGTAGAATTTTGTCAGGAATCCGAATCTGCAAACCAAATTTCGATCCGACTTCCGGTTTGAAAGTTATTGCGTTTTGAAAGCTCAAAAATCGCTAAATTTGGTGCCCCATGTTATGTCAATGAGAAAAAGGATTTTTTGAAGTGTAAAATACCAGATATAGACTGGGTACAGCTTAATATTCTGAAAGCCTATAAAAGGAGGGGACCTCAAAGGCTATCTAGCTTTAAAATTTGGACGCAAAAATGCCTTGGTCAAAATCTAGGTCAAATTCATAGTTCTTCCTTATTTTTGCGATTCTGACATTACACTTTAAGGATTTGCTTCAAAATTTTGTATACAGGTAGCAAAGAGTGTGCTTATAGTGTTAGCCTTCTGCCGTCAGAAAGTTTTTTGACCCACTTTTGAGATATGGTGTCCGAAATGTAGGTCAAAATAAAAAATTCTCCAAATTTAACGTATGAGTTATGAATTAAGGGTAAAATTTTCTCAGGAATCAGAATCTTTAAACCAAATTTCGATCTAACTTCTGGTTAGATAGTTATAGCGGTTTGAAGTCTCGAAAAGTCGATATGATGATATCCCCATGTTAAGCTAATAGCGTCGAAGATAGCCTTCTTAAAAGTTGTCTAAATGTCTATATTCTAGCTGACTCAGCTTATTCTCAATGTCTCAGCTTACAAGTTCTGGATGACTCAGCTTAAAAAAATGTGGAATCTGGAGTCTTAAATTGAACTTGTTCAATTTACATGTCTAGTTATTATTATTTTTCTTCCTCCTCACCAAATTTCTCGTCAACTATAACAGCTTACTTAATCCAACTTACATGGTTAACTAAAGACTGAAACCGGCTTTCTGGGAAATTAGGTCAAATTTTTATCTAGGTCAAAGGTCAAGAACTAGGTCAAATCCGGTACTTTGTCACTTTTTCCCATTATCTCGGTCGTCCTTCAATATTTTCGATCCTGATTTTTTTCATTGTGTTCCTCATAAAAAAGTAGAAAACCTTGAGTCGATTTAGTTTTTTGGTATCTCAAACCGATTTCGAGATATCAGTGTCCGAAAACGAGGTCCAAAAAAAATTTCTCCGAATCCAATGTCCAGGATATCAGTCTTATAGAAAATTTTCTCAGGATTCCGAATCTGAAAACCAAATTTCGATCTGACTTCCGGTTCAGAAGTTATGGCGTTTTGAAAATTCAAAATCGCTAAATTTGGTGCCCCGTGTTAATTCAATGGGAAAAAATATTTTTTTGAAGTGTAAAATACGAGATATAGACTTAGCACAGCTAAACATAATGGAAGCCCATAAAAGAAAGGGACCACAAGACCTTCTTTTCATAAAAATTTGGACACCAAAATGCCTAGGTCAAAATCTAGGTCAAATTCAAAGTTTTTTCTTATTTTTGCGATTCTGACACTACAGATTAATTATATTCTTCGAAATTTTGTATACATGTAGCCAAGAGTGTGCTAATAGTGTTAGCATTTTGCCGTCAGAAAGTATTTTGACCCACTTTTCAGATATGGTGTCCGAAAAGTAGGTCAAACTAAAAAGTTCTCCAAATTTAACGTATGAGTTATGAATTAAGGGTAGAATTTTCTCAGGAATCCAAATCTGCAAACCAAATTTCATTCGACTTTAGGTTTGGAAGTTATGTCGTTTTGAAAGCTCAAAAATCGCTAAATTTGGTGCCTCATGTTATGGCAATGGGAAAAAAGATTTTTTTGAAGTGTAAAATACGAGATAAAGACTGAGTACAGCTTCACATAATGAAAGCCTATAAAAGAAAGGGACCTCAAAAGCTAGCTAGCTTCACAATTTCGTCACCAAAATGCCTGGGTCAAAATCTAGGTCAAATTTATAGTTTTAACTTATTTTTGCGATTCTGACACTACACTTTAATTATTTGCTTCAAAATTTTGTATACAGGTAGCAAAGAGTGTGCTAATAGTGTTAGCCTTTTGTCGTCAGAAAGTATTTTGACCCACTTTTGAGATATAGTGTCCGAAAAGTAGGTCAACATGAAAGTTTCTCCAAATTTAACGTATGAGTTATGAATTAAGGGGAGAATTTTCTCAGGAATCCGAATCTGCAAATCAAATTTCAATCCGACACCTGGTTTGGAAGTAATGGCGTTTTGAAAAATTAAAAAATTGGTATTTTGATATCCCATGTTATGTCAATTATCTTTGTCACTATTCGTCGTTATTCCTTTATCTTTTTTTCAGCATGTAGCTCAAAGACAGTCCTTTCATTATTGTAACTGTCTTTTTTGATTACTCTTACCGATTTTGAGGAATGGCGTCCGGAAAGTAGGTCAACATAAAAAGTTCTCAAAATTTAATGTATGAGTTATGACACAAACATAGAATTTTCTCAGAAATTCGAATCTGCAAACCAAATTTCGACCCAAATTCTGGTTAGATAGTTATAGCTGTTTGAAGTCTCGAAAAGTCGATATTATGATATCCCCATGTTAAGCCAATGTAGACGAAGATAAGCTACTTAAGAGTTGTCTAAATGTCTGTATTCTAGATGACTCAGCTTATTCTGAATGGCTCAGCTTACAGTATTTTGGATGACTCAGCTTAAAAAAAGTTTTAAATCTGGAGTCTTAAATTGAACTTGTTCAATTTACATGTCTAGTTATTCTTATTTTTCTTTTTGAGTTTTTTCAATAACTATAAGGTATCCAGTAAAATGCATTATACAGTTCATTTAGGTTCAGTATCTAGTTGGTGGGAAATTGGGTCAAATTTTTATCTAGGTCAAAGGTCAAGAACTAGGTCAAATCTTACATTTTCAACCTTCTGTCTATTATCTTTGTCGTTATTTCTCGAAACATCTTCATCTTTTTTTCATCCTGTAGCTTACAAACAGCCCTTTCATAAGTGCCATCTGTTTTTTGATTACTCTTACCGATTTTGAAATATGGCGTCCGGAAAGTAGGTCACACCAAAACGTGCTCCAAATTCAATGTATGAGTTATGAATTAGGAGTAGAATTTTATCAGGAATCCGAATCTGCAAACCAAATTTCGATCCGATTTCCGGTTCGGAAGTTATGGCGTTTTTGGTGCCCATGTTAAGTCAATGTGAAAAAAGATTTTTTTGAAGTGAAAAATTTGAAATATAGACTGAGTTCAGCTTAATTTAATGAAAGCCTTCAAAAGAAGGGGACCTCAAAAGCCATCTAGCTTCAAAATTTGGACACCAAAATGCCTAGGCCAAAATCTAGGTCAAATTCAAAGGTTTTCCTTATTTTTGCGATCCTGACACTACACTTCAATTATATTCTTCGAAATTGTGTATACATGTAACCAAGAGTGTGCTAATAGTGTTAGCCTTTTGCCGTCAGAAAGTATTTTGACCCACTTTTGAGATATGGTAACCGAAAAGTAGGTCAAGATAAAAAGTTCTCCAAATTTAACGTATGAGTTATGAATTAATAATAGAATTTTCTCAGAAATCCGAATCTGCAAACCAAATTTCGATCCAACTTCCGGTTCCGAAGTTATGGCGTGTCCAAAAAGTAGGTCAAAATAAAGATTCGCCAAATTTAGCGTATGAGTTATGGGTAGAATTTTGTCAGGAATCCGAATCTTTAAATCAAATTTTGATCCGACTTCCGGTTAGGAAGTTATGGCGTTTTGAAATTTCGGAAAATCGATCTGATGGTATCCTGATAGAAAGTCAAGAGTAGAGAAGAAAATATTGAAAAATTCATCCATCCTTCCTATCTGATCCTATCCTATCCTTTCTATCTATCCTTCCTTCGTATCCTTTCCTTCCTATCCTTCCTATCCTCTCCTATCATATCCTTTCTTCCTATTCTGTTCTATCCTGTCCTTCTTTCTTATTCTATCCTTCTTTCTTATTTTATCCTATTGTTCCTTCCCATTCTATCCTATCCTACCTTCCTATTTTATCCATCCATCTTATTCTGGATGACTCAGCTTATTCTGGATGACTCTGCTTATTTTAGATGACTGGGCTTAAAAAAGTCTAGATCTGGAGTCTGAAATTGAACTTCGTTCAATTTCCAAAGTCTAGTTAAATCTTAGTTTATGATGAATTATAGATGCATTTGTAAGGACCCTTGATAGTAAGTTGCTTCTACAGGCCAGCTGGGTTCGATTCCCACTCGGGGCATTGAATTTAGCACATTTTCTTTCAATTTCTTTATCTGGCTTGTTGGACCTATGCTCGCGGTCAATAGTTAGTTATTCCCCTTGGGCGCCCTTGGGTCATTACACATTACAATGCACCCATATGCCTTTATTTATGGATCTGTCATCCGTCTAGACATAAAATAAAGCCGGAATTGTAGAAATGTTAATAATTAGAGATATTTTGAGATTTAAAAATCTTTAAAATTGAACCCTTCAATTACTGTATCATGTTCCACGTAGGTGGGTAGGTGGGTATGACGTTTTTTATACAAAGCCTTTTGGCACTTCCATAAATTTTCTGTCAGTGTGTCAATGTTTATATCAAACCTGCTAGTTATGACCAGTTTGGTATGGGCTTTCCAATAGTATGAAGAATATAACTTTTAGAAAATGATATCCTAGGCTTAGGGGAAATGTATTTCACTGTATAATAATGTATTGTAAGTTGTGAGTTTATGAGACAACGTATTAAACCATTGCTAACTTTTTTGAATTCTCATCTAATTTTTTGAAATTTCCACTAGTTATTCACAGTATTTACGCCATGTGCCTCCAAGAGTTTAGTAATATCATACAATATTGATGTGAAAGAGTCAGTCAGCTCCGTGGCTTAATTGGTAGAGCAGCTGACATGTAATTAGGAGGTTGTGGGTTCGATTCCCACCAGGGTGGAATGTCTTTTCCACATCAGCCCTTAGCATAGGATTTGATCCTATGTTTTCAGATTAAAATTTTGGAAATGTTATGACTGATAAAGGACCATGCACCTTTTTTCTTTACAAAGGGTATGTGTTTTAATCCACTTCATTTCTCTCGTTTCTTTGTAGGCTTCTGGAAGCAACTCACCATTCTCAGAGGAGGATATTGAGATGATTGGTCACCTTGTAACAGCCATGACATCCGATGAAATCAAAGATCAATTACCAGCTGGGGAAGTCGCCAAGAAAGCACTCAAATTTTTAGGAAAACGTTGTTTGAAAAAAGATGTTTCAACAATTGTTGTTGACAAAATCAAAGATTCAGATGCTTATGGGTAAGAAATATGTAACACTTCATTTGTGTATAGTATGCAAGTATATTTTTCACAATATTTTTTTACATTTTATTGATTTAAACTTTAAATTTAGGAATAAAAATTAAGATACAGTACTTCATCTATAGTCATTTTTAGCATGAAATTTCAAGATGAAGAATAATTTAAGAAAATATGATTTGTTAAATGGTATTTGAGGGATTTGCTTATTTGTAAAGTACAGTACTTACTTTTTCTTGGTAAACATGTATTGAACAACTGTCTGTAGTTTGATTCCATGAATATTATTGGTTTTAACACTCAGGAGTAAATGATATGAAACGTTTCTGAACAAAGATATGGGCAATTGTTGAGTGCAATTTTCCAAAGCCACCAAATAGCACAGAATTTCTTATGAATTTTCATTGCAGATTTCACAAATAAAGGTTATTTCATGTTTTATTTAGTCCACTAAGTGAGATGACAGAAGCAGATGTTGAAGAGTTGGAGGATGTCGTCGCAAATTTGCCAAAGTCTGATCTTGACGAAATCCCTGATGTAAGTAAATATTTACTATAAGGCATCAAGGTAAAGTGTATGGAGATTGACCAGTTGTAATTGTAATACTACAGGACAAGCTGGCTAGACTGTATGGATGATTGATTGACCATGTAATACAGGACAAGCTGGCTAGACTGTATGAACGATTGATTGACCATGTAATACAGGACAAGCTGGCTAGACTGTATGAACGATTGATTGACCATGTAATACAGGATAAGCTGGTTAGACTGTTTGGACCATTGATTGACCATGTAATACAGGATAAGCTGGCTAGACTGTATGAACGATTGATTGACCATGTAATACAGGATAAGCTGGCTAGACTGTATGAACGATTGATTGACCATGTAATACAGGATAAGCTGGCTAGACTGTATGGACGATTGATTGACCATGTAATACAGGACAAGCTGGCTAGACTGTATGGATGATTGATTGACCATGTAATACAGGATAAGCTGGCTAGACTGTATGAACGATTGATTGACCATGTAATACAGGACAAGCTGGCTAGACTGTATGGATGATTGATTGACCATGTAATACAGGATAAGCTGGCTAGACTGTATGGACGATTGATTGACCATGTAATACAGGACAAGCTGGCTAGACTGTATGGACGATTGACCATGTAATACAGGACAAGCTGGCTAGACTGTATGGACGATTGATTGACCATGCAATACAGGACAAGCTGGCTAGACTGTATGGACCATTGATTGACCATGTAATACAGGATAAGCGGATAGACTGTATGGACGATTGATTGACCATGTAATACAGGACAAGCTGGCTAGACTGTATGGACGATTGATTGACCATGTAATACAGGACAAGCTGGCTAGACTGTATGAACGATTGATTGACCATGTAATACAGAACAAGCTGGCTAGACTGGACAATTGATTGACCATGTAATACAGGACAAGCTGGCTAGACTGTATGAACGATTGATTGACCATGTAATACAGGACAAGCTGGCTAGACTGTATGGATGATTGATTGACCATGTAATACAGGACAAGCTGGCTAGACTGTATGGACGATTGATTGACCATGTAATACAGGACAAGCTGGCTAGACTGTATGGACGATTGATTGACCATGTAATACAGGACAAGCCGGCTAGACTGTATGGACGATTGATTGACCATGTAATACAGGACAAGCTGGCTAGACTGTATGGATGATTGATTGACCATGTAATACAGGACAAGCTGGCTAGACTGTATGGACGATTGATTGACCATGTAATACAGGACAAGCTGGCTAGACTGTATGGACGATTGATTGACCATGTAATACAGGACAAGCCGGCTAGACTGTATGGACGATTGATTGACCATGTAATACAGGACAAGCTGGCTAGACTGTATGGATGATTGATTGACCATGTAATACAAGACAAGCTGGCTAGACTGTATGGATGATTGATTGACCATGTAATACAGGACAAGCTGGCTAGACTGTATGGATGATTGATTGACCATGTAATACAGGACAAGCTGGCTAGACTGTATGGATGATTGATTGACCATGTAATACAGGACAAGCTGGCTAGACTGTATGGACGATTGATTGACCATGTAATACAGGACAAGCTGGCTAGACTGTATGGACGATTGATTGACCATGTAATACAGGACAAGCCGGCTAGACTGTATGGACGATTGATTGACCATGTAATACAGGACAAGCTGGCTAGACTGTATGGATGATTGATTGACCATGTAATACAGGACAAGCTGGCTAGACTGTATGGACGATTGATTGACCATGTAATACAGGACAAGCCGGCTAGACTGTATGGACGATTGATTGACCATGTAATACAGGACAAGCTGGCTAGACTGTATGGATGATTGATTGACCATGTAATACAGGACAAGCCGGCTAGACTGTATGGATGATTGATTGACCATGTAATACATGACAAGCTGGCTAGACTGTATGGACGATTGACCATGTAATACAGGATAAGCTGGCTAGACTGTATGGACGATTGATTGACCATGTAATACATGACAAGCTGGCTAGACTGTATGGATGATTGATTGACCATGTAATACAGGACAAGCTGGCTAGACTGTATGGACGATTGATTGACCATGTCATACATGACAAGCTGGCTAGACTGTATGGATGATTGATTGACCATGTAATACAGGATAAGCTGGCTAGACTGTATGGACGATTGATTGACCATGTAATACAGGACAAGCTGGCTAGACTATGGACGATTGATTGACCATGTAATACAGGACAAGCCGGCTAGACTGTATGAACGATTGATTGACCATGTAATACAGGATAAGCTGGCTAGACTGTATGGATGATTGACCATGTAATACATGACAAGCTGGCTAGACTGTATGGATGATTGATTGACCATGTAATACAGGACAAGCTGGCTAGACTGTATGAACGATTGATTGACCATGTAATACAGGATAAGCTGGCTAGACTGTATGGACGATTGACCATGTAATACATGACAAGCTGGCTAGACTGTATGGATGATTGATTGACCATGTAATACAGGATAAGCTGGCTAGACTGTATGGACGATTGACCATGTAATACATGACAAGCTGGCTAGACTGTATGGATGATTGATTGACCATGTAATACAGGACAAGCTGGCTAGACTGTATGGATGATTGATTGACCATGTAATACAGGACAAGCTGGCTAGACTGTATGAACGATTGATTGACCATGTAATACAGGATAAGCTGGCTAGACTGTATGGACGATTGACCATGTAATACATGACAAGCTGGCTAGACTGTATGGATGATTGATTGACCATGTAATACAGGATAAGCTGGCTAGACTGTATGGACGATTGACCATGTAATACATGACAAGCTGGCTAGACTGTATGGATGATTGATTGACCATGTAATACAGGACAAGCTGGCTAGACTGTATGAACGATTGATTGACCATGTAATACAGGACAAGCTGGCTAGACTGTATGGATGATTGATTGACCATGTAATACAGGATAAGCTGGCTAGACTGTATGGACGATTGATTGACCATGTAATACAGGACAAGCTGGCTAGACTGTATGGACGATTGACCATGTAATACATGACAAGCTGGCTAGACTGTATGGATGATTGATTGACCATGTAATACAGGATAAGCTGGCTAGACTGTATGGACGATTGATTGACCATGTAATACAGGACAAGCTGGCTAGACTGTATGGACGATTGACCATGTAATACATGACAAGCTGGCTAGACTGTATGGATGATTGATTGACCATGTAATACAGGATAAGCTGGCTAGACTGTATGGACGATTCATTGACCATGTAATACAGGACAAGCTGGCTAGACTGTATGGATGATTTATTGACCATGTAATACAGGATAAGCTGGCTAGACTGTATGGACGATTGATTGACCATGTAATACAGGACAAGCTGGCTAGACTGTATGGACGATTGACCATGTAATACATGACAAGCTGGCTAGACTGTATGGATGATTGATTGACCATGTAATACAGGATAAGCTGGCTAGACTGTATGGACGATTGATTGACCATGTAATACAGGACAAGCTGGCTAGACTGTATGGACGATTGACCATGTAATACATGACAAGCTGGCTAGACTGTATGGATGATTGATTGACCATGTAATACAGGATAAGCTGGCTAGACTGTATGGACGATTCATTGACCATGTAATACAGGACAAGCTGGCTAGACTGTATGGATGATTGATTGACCATGTTATACAGGATAAGCTGGCTAGACTGAATGGACGATTGATTGACCATGTAATACAGGACAAGCTGGCTAGACTGTATGGACGATTGACCATGTAATACATGACAAGCTGGCTAGACTGTATGGATGATTGATTGACCATGTAATACAGGATAAGCTGGCTAGACTGTATGGACGATTCATTGACCATGTAATACAGGACAAGCTGGCTAGACTGTATGGATGATTGATTGACCATGTAATACAGGATAAGCTGGCTAGACTGTATGGATGATTGATTGACCATGTAATACAGGACAAGCTGGCTAGACTGTATGGACGATTGACCATGTAATACAGGACAAGCTGGCTAGACTGTATGGACGATTGATTGACCATGCAATACAGGACAAGCTGGCTAGACTGTATGGACCATTGATTGACCATGTAATACAGGATAAGCGGATAGACTGTATGGACGATTGATTGACCATGTAATACAGGATAAGCGGATAGACTGTATGGACGATTGATTGGCCATGTAATACAGGACAAGCTGGCTAGACTGTATGGACGATTGATTGACCATGTAATACAGGATAAGCAGATAGACTGTATGGACGATTGATTGGCCATGTAATACAGGACAAGCTGGCTAGACTGTATGGATGATTGATTGACCATGTAATACAGGATAAGCTGGCTAGACTGTATGGACGATTGATTGACCATGTAATACAGGATAAGCTGGCTAGACTGTATGGACGATTGACCATGTAATACAGGACAAGCTGGCTAGACTGTATGGACCATTGATTGACCATGTAATACAGGATAAGCGGATAGACTGTATGGACGATTGATTGACCATGTAATACAGGATAAGCGGATAGACTGTATGGACGATTGATTGGCCATGTAATACAGGACAAGCCGGCTAGACTGTATGGATGATTGATTGACCATGTAATACAGGATAAGCTGATAGACTGTATGAACGATTGATTGACCATGTAATACAGGACAAGCTGGCTAGACTGTATGGATGATTGATTGACCATGTAATACAGGATAAGCTGGCTAGACTGTATGGACGATTGATTGACCATGTAATACAGGACAAGCTGGCTAGACTGTATGGACGATTGACCATGTAATACATGACAAGCTGGCTAGACTGTATGGACGATTGACCATGTAATACATGACAAGCTGGCTAGACTGTATGGATGATTGATTGACCATGTAATACAGGATAAGCTGGCTAGACTGTATGGACGATTCATTGACCATGTAATACAGGACAAGCTGGCTAGACTGTATGAACGATTGATTGACCATGTAATACAGGACAAGCTGGCTAGACTGTATGGACGATTGATTGACCATGTAATACAGGACAAGCTGGCTAGACTGTATGGACGATTGATTGACCATGTAATACAGGATAAGCAGATAGAATGTATGGACGATTGATTGACCATGTAATACAGGAAGCGGATAGACTGTATGGACGATTGATTGACCATGTAATACAGGAATAGCTGGCTAGACTGTATGGACGATTGATTGACCATGTAATACAGGACAAGCTGGCTAGACTGTATGGATGATTGATTGACCATGTAATACAGGACAAGCTGGCTAGACTGTATGGACGATTGATTGACCATGTAATACAGGACAACCTGGCTAGACTGTATGGACGATTGATTGACCATGTAATACAGGACAAGCTGGCTAGACTGTATGAACGATTGATTGACCATGTAATACAGGACAAGCTGGCTAGACTGTATGGATGATTGATTGACCATGTAATACAGGATAAGCAGATAGAATGTATGGACGATTGATTGACCATGTAATACAGGATAAGCAGATAGAATGTATGGACGATTGATTGACCATGTAATACAGGACAAGCTGGCTAGACTGTATGGATGATTGATTGACCATGTAATACAGGACAAGCTGGCTAGACTGTATGGATGATTCATTGACCATGTAATACAAGATAAGCTGGCTAGACTGTATGGATGATTGATTGACCATGTAATACAGGACAAGCTGGCTAGACTGTGTGAACGATTGATTGACCATGTAATACAGGACAAGCTGGCTAGACTGTATGGACGATTGATTGACCATGTAATACAAGACAAGCTGGCTAGACTGTATGGATGATTGATTGACCATGCAATACAGGACAAGCTGGCTAGACTGCATGGACGATTGATTGACCATGTAATACAGGATAAGCAGATAGAATGTATGGACATTGATTGACCATGTAATACAGGATAAGCTGGCTAGACTGTATGGACGATTCATTGACCATGTAATACAGGATAAGCTGGCTAGACTGTATGGACGATTCATTGACCATGTAATACATGACAAGCTGGCTAGACTGTATGGATCATTGATTGACCATGTAATACAGGATAAGCTGGCTAGACTGTATGGACGATTCATTGACCATGTAATACAGGATAAGCGGATAGAATGTGTGGTAGGGCTGGAACGGAATCTGAACAGATTTTGGAACTTTAGCCTTCAGACTTTGAACCAACTTAAACAAGTGAACTTTTCAATATTTCTATATTAATTAAATTATTAATTTCGTATCATTCCAGTTCTCTATTGTGAGTTGTCAAGTGTTCTTTAAAGAAATTGATTAATTCCAAAAATATCGGAACTTGAGAAGGCAGTTTAAGACTCCATTTTCAAAGGTAGAATTGGGTGATTTGGACAATAATTTCCTTCCGTGCCAGCCGTACTGTATAGGAGATACATGGACCAACTATAATTGTCACAGTATGTTAGCTGGCTAGAATGTGTGGGGGATACATTGACCAGCTATAATTGTTATGTAACAGGACAAACTGGCTAGACTGTGTGGGGGATACATTGACCAGCTAGAGCCTAGTGATTCTGAAGAGGCTGAGGCTCGTGTCTTAAAGGAACGTGACATCTCAGATGAGGACCGCAATTCCTGTAAGGACCGGGTGAAGGCATTTAAGCAAAGGTGCCAGGAGGCAATTGTTGGAACAATCTCTGTTGATCCATCACGTAGACGACGCAGAGGTAAAAAGATTATTTCATCCCCCTCTGTCAACCTGTATATGTTCATTCACAGAATATTTCATAAACACCAGCACCCAAATTCTATTATAGTATGTAGTTGACATTTTTATTATTTTTATAAAATATACACAAATAAAAAAAGAGAAACTAACTAATCAATTTTTACCAAGGCTCCCATGAATTGGGCAGTGCCCTTGGGCTTGGACCATTCATGCGACCTCAGTCCCGCCTTCATTAACTTATATGACAAATCATCCAGGCAACTGCCAAGTTGTCAAATGATGTGATTGTGATTGCTATCTATGACATCAGTCACATATTACTATAAACAAACAAATAATCACTACATCACAAATCTCTGTTGATTCTATATTAATATGTGATGTCATTAACATGTTACTTAACCAACAAGAAAACAAGCATTTAGTTTGTTTATTATGGTTCTCCATGATCTTTTCATAAGAAGTGGATCAATTTTCTGTATAGCATATGTCTCCGCATATTAGCCTTCATATTTTTCTAGTGAAATTACATTTATTATTTGAATACCACATTTGGTCAAAAAGTATGTTACAAGGGGCGATCAACAAATAACGCAAATAGAGCCCTATCTCAGAAACTAATTGGAGTTAGAACACCAAATTTGATACGTAGTATCACCAAATATTCATTATTCTTGCAACAAAATCTGAGGCACAAATATTACTTTATGTCAGAGTTACGGTTGCCATAGAAACCTGTAGTATGGGCACCTGAAGCAGGCCGTGAATCAAAACAATAAGGTATTGAACGTCTGTCCAAATGACTTTGAAAGACACTGTTAAGTCATACAAATTTGATGTTATTTGGGTGTAAATCATTTCTGAAAAGTTTCTGTTAATTGATGTGATCTACTTTTAATTGTTATTTCATAATGCCTACCCAACAATAGCTTTGTCATTAGGCTATACATGTCAATACCCAACGATAAGATGACAGAAACCACAGGCAGTAGGGAAATCAAAGTCAAGTCAGCCATACTGAAAAATGGTAGAATTGAAAACTTCAGGTCATCAGGCTTCCATAGAAGACAGAGAGAACTGATATAATGCTGTATTTTGAATGAAATATCACTGCAAAAAACTTTATGAGATGCTGAATAAGTCTTGGGTAATGAAAATGGACTAAGCAATGTCTACAGATGGTACAGAACGATTTCTGAAAAACCAAGAAGATCTGCTGAGGATGCTTCTCGTACAGGTGCTCTAAAAACAACACACACATAGCAGAGATGATTAAAGAAGTAGAGCAGCTGGTTATGGTTGATAGGACTGTCACTACTTAACATGAACTGGGCAAGAGTTCAGTCTAAAAATGATTGTTAAAAAACTGTGACATCATATATTTGAGGTGTTTCAGGTGCCCACGACTTGGGTTACTGTATGCTAAATCCTTATTGTTACTTAATATCCAAGACCTACTTCAGGTACCCATACCATGGGTTACTATCATAACTGTTACTTTGGCATATATCAATGTTTGTGCCCTAAACTTTCTGGAAATATGAATGAATGTTTGGTGATACTATGTATCAAGTTTAGTGTACTAACTCCAATTAGTTTCTGAGATAGGGCTCTATTTGCGTTATTTGTTGATCACCCCTTGTACTTGAATTAATTGAAATAATTTTGGTTGCCTTTGTTCCATTGCCCCATCCTTGCCTATGGTAACTCTCTCTTGGCCTTTGACCTCTTTATTATTTGCTTTTTTTGAAAATCATCCTGTTATTGGTGCTGATATTAAGAAAGGGCATAATTCAATAACCAGAAAAAATAGCATGCTATAAAGGTCCTTATACATACATGTATTATCAGAAAAGAAAATCCAGTGATTATTAATGGAAAGATTGTCATAGCAAGACACTTTATTATTACCCCCACACTCCAATGCATGCATACTATTCCTTTATAGATTATTATCCCATCGAACAAAGTTCAGAGGGATAATAGGGAATGCCTCCGTCCATCTGTCTGTCCATACGTACGTCCGGGCAATAACTCAAATACCATTGGCCCGATTTTGTTCGTATTTTGTATACATATACCGTAGAAGTTCTGTTTGAAAGGCGATTTTCAAAATGGCTGCTTATTTAAAAATGGTGGCCATTTTTAGTGCCGATTTTACAGTAATTTAGGTGCAATATGTAAAACTTTAATAGCAATATGTTTTAAATGTAAAAAAATTATATAGGACATTAATAAAGCTAGAAATGTAGATATAAAAGAAGCACATGGCAGCCATCTTGAAAAATGGCGGCCTTTACTCGTTATTTTACGATTTTTGCTGTAACTCGAAAAGTAGTGGAGCAATTTTTCATATTTGGTATGTGAATACTTAAAGCATGGCACACTGTCTATTGACACTTTTGGTAGAAGACGGCCATTTTGAAAAATGGCCACCATTTTAACGTATTTACTATAACTCGAAAAGTAGTGGAGCGATTTTGTTCATATTTTGTATGTGAATACTATAAGCATGGCACACTGTCTAATGACACTTTTGGTAGAAAGTAGCCATTTTGAAAAATGGCTGCCACTTTTGCTATATACTTTGTTTGTAAAAATACCAGCCACGGCTGTTCGATGGGATTTGCTACGCTTTGGCGTTGTTGTTCTCTAGTTAACATTCTATTGTATACTACATGTATGTAATTTGTAAATTCTACATTGAGAGACACCGTTAATGTTTAAACAAATTAATGGCATAAAATCTATTGGTAAAAACTTTATTCTTGCTGTTTGTAGATGCAAGTACCTGGACATGTCCTGATATCAAACAGATGGGGGAGGGTATAACAGAATCATCTGATGAGGAGCTTAAAGATATCTTAACTGCTGTATTGGAAGAGTGTCTGCCTGACCTAGGTTCTATAAATGGATGGTCCGAGGCACAGAGATCACTGCTCCTTGAAAAGATTGAAGCAGTAAGTGTACAAGTTAAACATATGAATATCAGAAAGCACAATATTTATCATAAGATGAATGAAGAAAAAACTCTGCTTATAAAGAAATTGAAACCCACGAGATTATGATTAATTGGAAACATTTATGGGATCTCAGGTCCATCCATTTTATTCTCTATCAAGCTCAAGGTTCACTCTATTTTCTACCTTATCTCAAACTCCATACTCCAATCTGTTCAACACCTTAGCTCAAAGTCCACTCTATTTAGCACCTGAACTCAAATTCAACTCTACTCAGCATGTTAACTCAAAGTTCACTCTATCAAGCACCTTAGCCCAAAGTCCACTCTACTCAGCATCCTAGCTTAATGTCCACTCTATCAGGCACCTTAGCCCAAAGTCCACTTTATCAAGCACCTTAGCCCAAAGTCCACTCTACTCAGCATCCTAGCTCAATGTCCACTCTATCAAGCACCTTAGCCAAAAGTCCACTTTATCAAGCACCTTAGCCCAAAGTCAACTCTACTCGGCATCCTAGCTCAAAAGTCCACTCTATCAAGCACCTTAGCCCAAAGTCAACTCTACTCAGCATCCTAGCTCAAAGTCCACTCTATCAAGCACCTTAGCCCAAAGTCAACTCTACTCAGCATCCTAGCTCAATGTCCACTCTATCAAACACCTTAGCCCAGAGTCCACTCTATCAGGGACCTTAGCCCAAGTCAACTTTTTCAGCACCATAGCTCAAAGTCCACATTAACTAACACTGTAGCTCAAAGGTCACTATCCAGCATCTTAGCTCAAAGTTCACTCTCTACAGCACCTTAGTTTCAAGTCAACTTTTTCAGCACTTAAGCTCCAAGTCCACTCTTTCCAACACCTCACTGCACCTTTGATATGAACTTTGTTCCAATTAATATTTTCAGGATCTAGCTAGTGACGACATCTGTGGTTTAGGTGAGTTACAACTTCTATCACTGAACCAACTATCCTTGGCCTTAACGACTGACCATATTGCATGCCTGGACTTGACAAGTGATGATGTTGCAAGTCGACTTGGTGGCCTCTCGGGTTGGAGCACTGATCAAGTGAGTGTTATTGGGTTCCGTTTTTGTGAGAGTAATAGCACATTTAATGTGAATCTATAGAATATAAGTCGCATAAAGATAGTTGTATACTGCTAGAGGTGTCAAGTATTAACCGGTTAACCGCCGATAATGCCTTGACCGGTCTGCGTTTTTATGGGTGGTTAGTTGACCGTGTATAATTCTGTTATTTCCCGCGCTTATATTGCATGTTAATCTGTTTGGTTTTAAAGTGTCAGTTTCACGTAAGCTACTCATACATGTCATAAGTCCATTAACTCCTTACAAACATCCAATCAGCAACTTTAATCCCTGCCACATTGCTTTCCCACACTTACTTTGCATGTTAAGTTTTGCATGCATGCATGTTTGTTTTTCAAGCATCAGTTTCATGTGAGCTACTCATACATGTGATAGGTCCGATAACTCCTTACAAACATCCAATCAGCAACTTTAACCCCTTACTTTGCATGTTAATCTGATTGTTTTTCAAGTGTCAGCCATGTGTAATCAACTCATAGGCCAGATAATTCCTTTAATTTTACAAAATTTTTGCAAAACAATTTCATAAATAAATTATATGCATTTTTTAATTCGTCAGTTTTGTTATTGTTGTCTATCAATGTCGCCAAAATGTCAAAGGTCAAAGCCTAGCTTTGGTAGTGAGCAAATTAAAATAAACACTAATCAGCTGCAATTCTCGTTGTTTCTGTTGTCAGGTAGTGTATGAATAGAGTAAAGCTTGACGAATGTAAAAAATAAACGCCGATATATCATTTTTCCAATTTTTTTCAACTTTCAAGATCGAAGATGAAGATTTCATTTGGAATTATCAGTTCAAATTTCCCGCCAGTTAACCGACTTTAACCGGTAAAAACACCCGGTTAACCGGTTAATGCTCAATCAGTTAATTGAAACCACTATATACTGCCAATAGGTGGCTCCATGCTTTCGCAAAGGAGCAATGATTCGATGAGTATCTTAATTTTGTCCAGGAGAACCATTTGATGAATTTATTTCAAATTTTCAAAGCTCTTTGTATGAAAATCTCAAACTGCTTTGGTTTTGAGTCTTTTTTATACATTTCCAATGCAAACCATTTCATGGGTTGATTTTAAAGTTTCAGGGATATTTCTTTCCATCGAACTGATTAGGTTTTGGTCATCCTGTAGTGCACATGTCTTGTTGAAACTAGTGACAAATGTACTTTATCACTGTTAGAAGGAATTGTTAAGATACTATTTTTCATTATATTTTTTTATTCAGTTGAATGCCTTGGCAAATAGATTCAAGTCTCAACGTTCAATTAGTAGTGGAAGTGACATCACAAAGGACCATCTAAGCATAATGCAACACTTTGTGTGCGGTTTGAGTGCAGCTGAGATTGAGGCTATACCCACTGCAGAATTCAAGTAAGCTAGCTTGCAAATTTTACAGCTACATTGTGTTTGAATTTTATGACTGATCATCTTGATTTTCTGAATATTTTTCTAACCTCTGCTAATGTTGATGAATAACAAACTCAATCATTTTGTTATCTATATCCACCAAGAAGAGATCTATAGAATAGCATTTGCAAATATAATACAAATGCTCTATCATTTAACACCAGATGTAAGATACTTGATATTCTAGGTCTTCTACTGCTGTACTGGGGAGTTTGAAGACATGTCCTTTGGCTCATCTGAAGGCTATGAAACGTCGTATAATCCATACTGACATAAATGGCCCTGTGTCTGGCTGGGACGTTTCTGTACTTGCTGATGCTGGCATTATTGCAGGTTTACTTATTTATTTGTTATTCACTTTTAAAACAGTGGCACAATGGTAAACATTCCAGTGCAGCCATCTAACAGATTACATGATTGACCTAAAATACAATGTATATAAAGTAAACTACAGTGTACATGTAATATGTGAAATTATGCATATATTATGAATTAAACATCATTATTAAAGCCCCACTTTGCATATTTTCAATGTTTTTGGGCAAAATGAAGACTTACATTCGAATTCTATAGAATGTCTAATGTATTGATAAGAACCTTATCTTTCATTTGACACCAACAACAGCACAAACGGAACACATCAAAGCTTACAATAATTAATCAAAAAATGTTTTCGATCTGTCAGGCTTTATATATCAATTTTTTATCAGTGTCATTGAAAGATGGCGATGTTGTTTGTATTACAAATCTGATGACTCACTAACTTAAACAGGCAATGCGCCTATTTTTGAAGGAAAAAGGACAAAATATCATTTGAGATATGTCACTCACACAGTCAATCAAATATGATAAAAACTTTAATTTGGATCAATACTGAAGTGAAAAAAATTACTTGCATAGAAAACAGCATTTTCAGTTCAGAGATCAAAAGAAGTGAATTACCACTTTTTACAAAGTGTATGTTTTTAAATAACTCTTGGAATAAAAGATGGCGCATGGTTGAAAATCCTATCAAAAATGAATGGATAATTAATGCAAACAACAATGCCATCTTTCTATGGCATTGCTAAAAACTTGACATATATAAATTGATAGATCAAAGTATTTTTTCATGATCTAGTGTCAACTCTGATGTGGTCTGTTTGAGCTGTTTTTGGTGTCAAATGAAAGATCAGGTACTTCTTAATCCATTGGAAATACTATGAAGATCAAAAGTGAGACTTCATTTACGCACTTTGTCCCTTTAATATCTTATAATGGATGTATATAGAGGTCACTTTGTCAGGCTCAGTAGAGATTGAATGTTTTCTCTTAAATTGTAGCTGGTATTGATGATTGCGAGGTAAAGGCTCTGTCCAATGAAACACTGAATGGTCTCCAGTCGTCAGCTCTGAAGCACATGCCCAAGGAAGTACTACAGGTAATTGTCAGTCTAAGTAGGGTTGGGATATAGCTACAGTATAATAGCAAACCCTTCCATCTATAATAAACCAGTCCATTCATTAGCACAATTTAAATGCATTATTAAACCTCATAAATCAGACATATTGTAAAAATAATGAAACAAATACTTTCGTCTCTCCACTTTGCCTTTGTTGCTTGTGTTTGCAAAATTAAAGGCCATAATAAATATACATTTTCCATATGTGTTTGACAGAGGTTGAAATAGTCAAAATGGATGAACTATGCCTTATTGTGTACATTCATGACTGATGTTTTCTAATGATATTGCTATTTTTCAGGCAATGTCTGCTAGCCAGCTGGAGTCCCTAGATGAGGTGCAGGTTAATGCTGTATCCAGCACTGAGGGCTTAAGTGTTGCCCAGCGTAATGCTCTCCTGATAGCTGAGTATGGGGTCAATGCAGAGCTTATAAAAGAGAATGAGGGCACATGTAAGAGGCTTTCTATTTAAGTATGATATTAGAGATTGTGACACCAATAATAAAAAAGCGATCATTATACATGTATATTCCATTATAGGCAATTTTCATTTAACATCCATGTAGTTACAATGGTGCATATGACTTGATGAATTAATTAGTAAAGACATCTCATTTTTCTAGCATCAGTATGTTCATTTTCTTTCTGTGTTTTACTTAAATTTGAAAATTTTATATTTTCAGCGGGTGTGCCCGAAGTAATAGCAAGCTTTTCTCTTGTGTTTGTATTGCTGATTGCACAATTTGCATAAATCTGGACACACATGGATGGAGGGAAATAGTAAGAATAGGAAAACACTATCACCATTTGCAAGATGAACATGGTGAAAAAAAGTTTAGAAAACATGTAACAATTAGGAAAAGTCAATGCATGGATATAAATGAATGATATAATGTGACATTTGTATCCATTCATATTCTTAATAATCCTGTTTGAAACAAAAGCATATTTGTCCTAGAACTTTTATGTATGAGGTGCTAGGAATCCTTAGTTTATACTATCAATGTGCAGTGAAGTGAAGTGGCCATACAAATGTTCAAGTGAATATTTACTATGTACTTTAATATAGTGAATTAGAAGGAAGTGGAAAGAAGGCATGGGGATCTGACAACTACTTTTATTACATATATGATTTAGATTACATAATCTCTAACAACTTATTGTACATCTATCATTTACTTTACATATGATTATTAACTACATGTAATTGCACATGTTAGATTGTACCCTTATGTTAATCAACTCATTGTCATGTATGATTGTACCATGATCTTGACCAACCTATTGTATATGTATGATTGTACCATGATCTTGACCAACCTATTGTATATGTATGATTGTATATTTTGATTCCTTAACAAGGTAACTGTTTCTAAAAAATAATGTGACTAACTAGCTGTGAAATTCAATTCTCTTTTATAAAACATAGATTAGTATAGAAATTGAAAATTAGAAATATTGATCTTTTCCATTTTTGGTGACTATAGACTGAATAATGTATATCTTATCAATGATAAATGTATGTTTTGATGCAAATGTATTTTGCTCATATACTGTATATATGTATATATACTGTCTTTATGTATTACTTTACTGTTTACATTCCCAAATTATATGATCTTAGAAAAGATAATCATTGTTATAGAGATGTATTTTTTACTTATAGAACTTTTACTGTTATATTTTAAAACACAATAAGGAATCTGCTTTTCTATAGTATAGTTTTATAGATATTTTACAAAATATACAACACATATCATTAAACAGAGAAGAGGTGACTTTTCTTTATAATATACAAATATATATATATGTATCAGGCCCATCAAATGGAGAATGAGGTTAAAAATATTTTTTGTAAACCCTAAGTTTGTAAAAATGTATTGCCCTTTATGTTATATGCGATACATGTATACAATGTATTAACTTAATCAACTGGAAAAGATTGATATTTACAAACAAACAAACCCTGTTTATCAACGGATGTCAGGCTACCACATTGACGCCACCAATCTAATGTCAGGCTACCACATTGACACCAGCAATCTAAAACATACCTTTGGAACTTACAGGAATGTGACATATAACAAAAGTTTGAATCTTTCCTATGGTTGGTACAGATTAAATAAAATATACTGGATCATACAAAACACTGTAGTCCCTTCCCCATGGTTGGTACTTCAGTGGGGTATGCATGAAAGTATTGGCCATTGTCTGAAACCATGATAACAATAGATATATGAGATATACGAGTTCAAACCCCTGATTGAGTGATCCAAAAGAAATGTCAAAGAGGCTGCCATTTCACTACTACTGGTCCAATCTTCTTGAAACTTGAAGCACATGTTCCTCAAACAGTTGTATTGAAAAGACAACATCTTTGATGCTACTTCTGGATCACCCTGTAGGTTGGCAGTGTTACCATATATGCTTCATTACTAGATAGCACTCACTTACATAATTCTTACTTACTTAATTCTTACATAGCTTTTTCGGATGGATGGAACATCAGGCTACTGGTTGACATTGCAACTACCTACAGGCCCAGCAAGAATATAGATGAACCACTATAGTCTAAAGATCAACTTCTAGAGCATGAACAGCAGTGATAACTGAGTGGTTATGTTATATAATTTGTCATCTGAAGTTATTTTGTCTGACATGAATTTGATCATGAATCAGAAGTATTGTCTCTAGTGTTGCTATACATAATCAGTCTATTGACAAAATGAGTGCTGCCTGTTCCTCTATGGTATTAGGGTATTAGTATATCATATATGCAGTTTATGAAGATTTATGTAATACCGCACTGTCTCAATAAATATCTATTCTCTACGTAGTTGAATTTAATGTTTTGTTATTCCTAAGATATTTTTTAGTGATTTCTAATTTTGATATTGCTGACCTCTCTGATTTTTCAATATAACTTAACAACCCAATTTCATTAAACCTGAAGCAGAATCATTCATTTTTTGTCTCACTTGCTATCTCGGCTTATGGACAACTCCTCCCATAGACAACTCATCCCTGGACATCTCATCATCTGGACAACTCATCACCTGGACAACTCCTCTCCTAGACAACTCATCCCCTAGACAACTCATCCCCAAGATAACTCATCCCCTAGACAACTCATCCCTGGACATCTCATCATCTGGACAACTCATCACCTGGACAACTCCTCTCCTAGACAACTCATCCCCTAGACAACTCATCCCCAAGATAACTCATCCCCTAGACAACTCATCCCTGGACATCTCATCCCCTAGACAACTCATCCCCTGGACATGTTAATTTATCAATCTTCAAAAGACCCCCTGCATAACAGTTCTAGAGCAATAAAGCCCATATTCCAAGTATGTTACAAAAACATGATTATCCTTAAAATCAGAAGGGTTAAATTTTTTCTTTTACCTAGTTCAAAATATATTGGCGTTTGAATTTTGGAAAATCCCCATTGGCTGCCATTATAAACCGCTATCAATGTGGCTTTACTTAGTACCCTTTTCTAAAAAAGTCCACCATGGAATTTTCAAATATTGTAGATTTTGATAGTTAATATATTGATTTAAAGAAAATAAAACAGATACATTTCTGAAAATTTCTTATTTTTGATATATCCTGCGAACAGTTCAAAAGTGATGAAGCCCATATCCCTAGGATGTTACAATCGCATGATCATCTTCAAAATAACACCCTATGCAGACAGAGCCTGTGGGAAATATTGGGTGCGGAGCAAATGAGCGGAGGGTGCCCGTACGGAGCTAACTGTCATTTTTGAATTTAAATTTGGGATATTTCTGAAACTAAGCCGTTTTGGGACTTCAAATATATCAATATATGTGTATTTGACACCAAATATCAATACAATTGTGAAAATAGTAGCGCAATTCATTCGATAGCGACGCAGTGTGCCTTAAACCTTTCCCAGACCTATATATTTTGAAATTATCCTTTTAAGGATGTTCCCTGGACGAAGTTGAAAACGATGAACACCAACCCCTAATTTTTCTTTTCAAAATGTGAAGTACATAGCATAACTAAGTGTTTCTGTGAGTTTAAGAAAAAGTTAAATATTCAAAAGTGTGTTTTGGGGTGAAAACCTGATTTTTAACATGGGTTTCAATGAGAAAGTGCCACGCCCACTTTTGTCAAATATTGACACTTTAGAGGCCTCTTGCTCAGAAAAAAGCACACTAACATATGGTTTTTAAAGTTTTAATATTCTTTGTTGCCCGTGAGAATCCCAGAAAACCATTTTTGAGAAAAAGTTAAATACTATTGAATATTTTCCTATCTGACCAGGGAACATCCTTAATACTGAGTCCCCAGCATTCATAAAAAATGGTGTTCAAGGTACACTATCTATACAAATTATTTTTGCATCTGTGTGATTTTATAAAAATTCGGAAATGTTTTTCAGATATGAACCCCCTCTAAATATTGGGTGCGGAGGAGCTCCATAATTTCCAATATTGTAGATTTCTATTGTTAATATATTGATTTTAAGAAAATCAAACAGACTCATTTCTGAAAATTTCTTATTTTTAATATATCTAGCTGCTAAAAAAATGTAAAAAACTATATTGAGCCCCATGTTAATTTATCAATCTTCAACTTGGCTCAATATATTAAAAATAAGATACTTTCACAAATGTAACTGTTTTGATTCTTTTGAATCAATATATTAACTATATAAATCTATAATATTAGAAAACTTTATAACTGCACTTTTTCAGAAAGAACACTTAAATTAAGCCATATTGATAGCAAAAAATGTAACCCTTCTTATTTGTAAGATAATCATGTTATTGTAACATCTTAGGAATATGGGCTTTATCACCTTTGAACTGTTCTGCAGGGGGTCTTCTGAAGATTGATAAATTAACATGGCGCTCAATATATATATTTTTTATAGTTTTTAACGGCTAGATATATCAAAAATAAGAAATTTTCAGAAATGTGTCTGTTTGATTTTCTTTAAACTAATACATTAGCTATCAAAATCTACAATATTAGTAAATTCCATAGTGGACTTTTTGAGAAAATGACACTTTAGTAAAGCCATGTTGGTAGCAGTTTATAATGACAGCCAATGGGGATTTTCCAAAATTCAAACGCCAGTATCTTTTGAACTAGATAAAAGAAAAGATTTAACCCTTCTTATTTTGAATATAATCATGTTATTATAACATAGTAGGGATATGGGCATTATTACTCTAGAACTGTTCTGCAGGGGGACTTGAAAATTGATTTATCATGGAGCTCAATGTAAATGTGCACAGTTTTCGATGCCTGCTATCATCAACTTGGGCCACTTTTCAACACCACTTCGTTAGATATCAAAAATATATGTATTAAAGATTCTCGCAATCTTTATCCAATCAGCGTTTGCGAGTGTGTCGGCTCACGTATAAAAGGCGAATCCAACTCAAATCCATGCAGGGGTGTATGAGGTACTCGAATATGGTTGGCCTATTAGTATAAAGAATACATGCGTTGTTTACGGGTGTGTAGGCGTTAATTACGCCCGTGTAGGCGTTAATTACGCCTGTGTAGGCGTTAATTACGCCCGTCAAAGCGTTAATTACGCCCGTTAAGAAGTGAATTCTATACGCGTTAAAACAAATACAGGCGTAAACTAACGGCGTCAAAATGTTCAATAGCGGGCGTCAAGACAGTATCTAACACCCGTTGAAAAACATCTATACGCCCGTCGAGTTCATTTTAGCGCCGTGAATTATGAACCAATCAGCATCTTGCTTACATGATGACACGATGCATTATAGCTAAAAGTACAACTCCAAGATCCTTGTGCAAGTTAATAACATACTCATGATTGTGCCAGGAACAACTGTTGCAATTGGAGGCATATGAAATATTATTTCTTTTCTGGGTATCTCGGTGCACTATTTGTGCAAATGTGAAAGATGTACATCGTATATTAAATGAGTTATGTATTCCTGGAAATAACATGTGACATATAAAGACGGCTGCTTTAAAAGATTCCAAAAAGTACACATCTCCCTAACACCAAATTTGAACATATGTTGGCTAGGTATACTAGGTATATAGGCTCATTTGACATTTTCAGTACATTTTCAAAAAATGCCACATCTGCAGGATATAGTCTAGAGTCAATTTGCAGTTGATCAGATACTATAATTCTAGTATCTGGACACATCCTTTAGAGGGATACACTAGCGATCTGACTGTATAATGAGACTGTAAGCTGCAATGCATGTGAGCTTAATAAGTCCCTACCTAGCCTACCTCTGAAGCCGACGCCTAGATTGGAGAATTATCCAAAAATCATCGTATTTAGAAACCAAACATGTATACCTTCTCAAAATATTCTGCAATTTTGTCGTTTCTACAATGGGTGTTGATAACTGCCAACACAGTACACGTCTCTTCAATTTGCCTTTTAATATGATATACTAAAAAATCTCTTTGGTTAAATCTAGTTCAATCTTGAACGAATATTTAAGGACCTCAATGCAACACACTAAAATGTAAGCAGGCTTCTGATTGTTGTTTACAAGTGCAAGTATCTCGGAGTTGCTAAAGAGCTCGTGAAATCTGAATTTATATGCACATGGTCAATGTTTACACATGTTTGGAGTCATTGAAGAAAATGTGATATGGGTGTTGTTCCGAATTCGAAGTCATTGCTGGAAAATATGATTTTAATACGTGAAATTATATCTATAAATACAGCACTAAAAATAACAGTACACATGAAGTACATGTATGATTGTGTTCAGAAATGTTTGAAACCCTTACGGAAAATTCTGTCTGCATTTTGTCACCATTGCTCTTTCTTCCCGCATTCTAGTGCTGTTTGAATGAATATATTAATTAATGTATTTCTAACTAAAATGTATCACATTTTTTTTATAAACCACAAACATTTAGATCATAAAAAAATTATTCAATACTTGAGTGAGCACGATATGCAAGGGTTACTAAGTTGACACAGTAAATGACCACTGATATTGTGTTAGTCCATGCACACAGCGTACACCCCTCACTTTCATAGTGAAGTGACTAATTGGTTTATGTTTACGTTTTAATGTGTTTTGGGTTCCTTGTTACAGCAAGGGGGCCAGTAAAGAAGACTAACATGTTTGCATCGAATATGTGAGACACTTTAAATATACTTATCTCAAAAAATGGTGCCATGTATATAGTAAGTGCAATTCAAGGGTTTTAATGTCATAACTGACTCCACTAGAAATGAGTCTCACTTTTAAATGATATAGAACGGGACTATTTCAGTCAAAACACTTTTTAACGTATAACGATCACTGAACTAAGTTCTAAGTTCTACGTTCTTTGGGTTTATTTCTAAGTAGATCGTACTTCCACGCCCGGTGATCGTACAAAATGGATGGAGGGGGAGTAGGCGATTTCTGCAAGAAAAGTCAACACATTTGGGAGATTTATTTTTTCAAGAGAAAATTTACAACTGAATTACTAAATGAATAGGCCCAGTGCATGGCAAAATATGTTAGGTCTTCTAGTATTGTTTTAAACTGATTCGCTTCTAAGATATGAGATCTATTAAAAAAGGCGCATCATCACCAACGTGCAAAAGTCAATGTTTTTGCTATAAATCAGGCAACAATGGTCTACACGACCTGTAATAAATAGGTATAAGGGACGTTATTAGCACAACACTAATGACATTGCTGACTTTTTAAAGTTAGTTTCCATGCGTCATACCAAAAATAATATAAATAAATTAATATTGGACGGAGGGGGAGTGGATGGAGGGGGAGGGGAGTTATATGTCTTTACGATGGAACAAATTCACAAGAACTCGTGTATTTGAAAAAACTAAACTCAGTACTCCAGTAAGAAACTGGATGTTATTATTATATCTCTGGAGAATGAAAAATGGGAAAATTTGTAGTTATAAGAATAAATTCAAGTAGCTTGTCTTATCATGTCTTATATACACCCCTCCATCCAATATTTATTTACGATGGTCTCAGATTCGGGTGAGAGAGCAGTGAACTGAATGGACGCTCTCACACATTTGGATGAGAGCGTGTTCAACTACAGGGTGAGCCAAAACGCCAATTTTCTTAAATATCCTGTAACCCGGATTTATGATCCAAAATTGTAAAATTATAATTTGCATACCAAATGAATTGTACACTTATACTGGAATAAAATATGTCACCAGCGTCTCATTCAAAAATGTGGTGCACCATGACTGACGATAGTCTAATAGTCCTGATGCAAACCCCAGTGATTATGGGGAGGTTTCTAGGAGATGGTATCTCAATCTCGAACAAGTGCCCAACTAAAGCTGGTAGGTTGAAGGACCTTTTCCATTATTTTATTACTCTGGACCTCTGGCACTATATAACCGCAACATTTGATTATTTAGGTTTGGAAATAAAGTATAGTGTTTTAAAAAAGGTGGCGTTTATTTTGGCCCACCCTGTACTCCTTTAATGATGTATGACAATATGTGACAATCAAAAATATTTCAAACTTCAAATACTTTTTCCTTGGAGTGTGGAAAGCGGATTAGTGATTTAGCTCCTGGACGTTTTTTATTTTCTTTGAAATAAAAGTATCGTGAGGGAAGGACGGTTGCGCCTTTCTATTTCAGTAAAGTTCCAATATTCCACCGTATATGTTTAAATTATTTCATCGAAATCCAATCAACAAATACTAATACCGATTGGCATTAGACTAAACAAACGGGATCAATGTGATTTCTCATTTCCTTCATCCCCATGGGCGTTTATTTCGAGCGAAAATATACATTCAAGTTGACCTTGGCCAAGAGTGTCATTACGTAAAACTCCTTCACGCCTAGATTGACACATTTGACACTAGATAACAATGGCACGGTTATATTTGCGATTTATTTGCGGCAGGGTAGCAGTTATCGTGACTTTTTTGCCAGTTGCGATTGTGTTGCGCTGAGTGGATGATGAGGTATCTTGTGCAGCAACCTTATGATGTTGGGGACCGATGGGTGGGGGGCACGGGGGGAAGGGGTGGGGGAGCCCCATCTTGATATGAGCTGTATATAAATGTATTTTAGACACATTCTAACACCAATTTCAAATACAATCGAATCTTAAAACATAAATAGTAGGCTAGTGATATTTGAATTTGATGCCTTGTTGAAACACAATCATAGAACAACCATTTAGACGCAATCAAAGAATACAATTCTAGACTATCCGTTTGTTCTGAATATAATCTCATCTCAAACATGAACTTTAAACATAGTCTTAAAAGATCTTGAATTTTGAACACAATCTTAGATTATTAATTTAAACACGGTTAGAGCATCAGTTCGCCGGGCTAAACACAATCTCGGAACATCCGGCGGCGTTCTAAACACCAATGATCCATTCTAACATACTGCTGTGACATGATTACATCTTACAAGATCCTCACTTTTTAATTTTAAACACACAATTTTATGACATCAACTGTGAACACATCAATCACACGTTTTAAACACATTTGTAACTTAGTGTAAAACGGGGCCCAACCGAGTCGGGACAACAGGCTATGCACTATCTATAGAGCCACTATGCAGGGCTATGCTTCAACTGTCATGTCCCATGATTGTGTTTATTCTCGGCATTTATCAAGAATTGTTCAAGAAAGGAAATAGTGATATTGTATTTAGAATGTTCAAGGTTTGTGTTTCGAAAGATGTCAAAGCATTGAATTTGGAATAAAGAAGTGCTTTGATTCAATATTTTTATAAGGTTTTATGCTACTCAAGGTAAGCCCCATAATGCATTGCTACTTCCTTTTTCCGGCCATCTTCGAAGATGGTGAGGAATTTTACGTTTTGTTGTCAAAAATCCAACAATATCTCGATAATCAAATGTTCATTTGTCTTTATATTTATGTTATATCAATGATGAAACATTATTTTTCATTCGATGTTTGATTTTTATTGTAGGGTATCGACATCTGCCACAAAAAAGACCGAAAGGTCCACAGGACGGAACCCAAAAGTCAGGATATTTATCTTCGGCTTCTGGTCAAGGTAATTTTGCACTTTCCTGTTTGCTACATTACTCTGTTGAAACTAATCTAAATGTCGCTAATATCAGATGTGTAGTAGTCTTATGTTGTGCAATGAAGTTGTGGTCTCGTGATTTTAGTTTCCGATAGCCTAGTTAGTGCTCTACATCATGTAAAAGATGTAAATAACACATGTGCAGTGAACAGTTATGAACAAAACTTAAACTCAAACTCCTTATGCTGATATTTCTTATATTTCATGATTTTTGAAATAGATCTATTTTTGATAAAATAATGAATGGGGAATGTAAAAATATGTTATATGCAGTGGCTATTCCTTATCCCGTTCCCGGACTATAGTCCTGCACTGAGCGCATTCATTTGCCTGTACGATTACAACTTGGGAGAATTATCTACGCCCCTTACACCTAAGATACCTACCTCAATGCATTATAGAACTCAAGATGTAACTTCTAATATATTGGAACCGCCGATTGTCTGGGTATATCGGCAGAACGGGAACATTTTCTCTTTTTCATCGAGAGAGATTCCATCACTTTTCAAAATGGCGGTTAGATTTAAAAGGGGAATCCCCCGTTTGGCTGTCCCGGATGTAGCCCGGAAGTACCAATATGGAGGAATTTGACGGTTGAAATAAGTTAAATGTTACACGCAAATATTGCGATCAAAAACGAAAATGTCTTCGTTCTGCCGATAAACCCAGACAATTGTGGATTCAACTACACGAAAAGAATGCTAAATTACCAAGGAATCTATTGAAGTAGGTATCTGAAGTGTAAGATCAGTAAAAAATTCTCCCATGTTGTAATCGCACAGGCAAAAGATTGAGATGTTCACAGGACCATAGTCCGGGAACGGGATAAGCTATTCCGAGACACATTGGGATGGGAATTGGAATAATGTAAGTTATTAACGCAACAGTTATTTTACAATATTGCTTCATTTTTTCCAGTTATACCGTTTCTTGGCTCGTCGTACAAATGCCAAGTTCAACAAAATTGTGTTGAGAAGATTGTTCATGAGCAAGAGCAATCGCCCTCCCCTGTCTCTTGCAAGACTGGTAAGTGTTCTTCAAACTGTTTTCTAATAAAACTTGGTGATGAGGAGGTCATTGGGTGTCATGTCAGTACAGTGTTCCGAATTGTTTTTCTGATGACTTTGATCTTTGAAAAATAAGACTTACAGTGCTCACCATAAATAAATGGTATCACCATTCCCAGACCATGGTGATTTTAGACTTCATACTTTCCAATAATGTCTAGATACACATTAGAGCTCGGAACGGCATTGGAAAATGGTGCCGGGTATTACTGCATCTTGAAACTGTACCTTTACCGATTAATCACTGGCGTACAGGCCTCGAAATTAGCGTTGCGAAGGTAGCGATTCGCTACCTGTTTTCCCAGAACACTACTTGTCATTTCCTCCAATTAGCTAACTTCGCTTGTTCCAGACAGCCAGACCCGAAGATTCGGTAAGAAAAAAGATTGAACTTCTGAGAAATTTAGTGAGCGATAATAGAGTACTCACACTAAACTGTAAAACGTGATAAAAATGACACATGCTGTAATTCGATGCATCCTCCTGATAAATATGTATCAGTGGGTCCTTTTCACACAATTCTAAACTAATATTATCTCAAAATAGGCTGAAATGAATGAAAGAAATGTTCAAATTTAGAGTTGTTACCTCATTCAACCAAGTAGTCTTTCGCGCAGCTTTTTTGCGCATGTCAACATGACGGTCAAGGTCATGAACTTTAGTTTGACGTTTCCTCTTTCTTTCTAACATTTCTTGTTATTCTTACGACTTTAACATGGAAAATGAAGATCTATCATTAAACAAATATCTTTCAGTATGATATTAGATCGATATCGAACGGTCTCTAGCGGAAATAATAAAGATAATCGGGGAGAACATATCATTCAATTCGCGGGGCTCCACTAGGGAATTTTGCAATATTGTTTACTGGTTTTATTTGTTTATTGATTCTTGGTTCATTTAGCGATCTTTACCGTAAACTCTCCAATAACAATCCATTCCATTATTATACTCCGTTCTGATGTTGCAAATTAGTCATATTTTAGCAAGAAAACTTTGCCATACATGAAATTCCCGGGGATTTTTTACTTCTTCCATATATCTAATAGAGTGCAGTGTTCTCCCCAGGATTTTATCTCAAGTGGGTGCAAAATTCTTATTTCACAATTTAGACCAAATTTGGAAAAATATGCCTATTTAGTATTTTTCATGTTTGTCTCATTTTCAAGTGGGTGCAAATTGATTCTCAGGTGGGTGCATGCCTATTACCAAAATCTCAAGTGGGTGCAGCGCAATTGCTGCTGGGGAGATCACTACAGTGTAATATCTTATTATTGCGCTGGTAAGTCATAAGAATAAAGATCGAAATCTTCACTATCTGGTTCTCTCAAATAGCTACCTGGAAAATTCACTAAGGCCAAAGGACTTGGATTATTGGTTTTGCGTCCTTTTAAAATTGAATATCATCATGCAAGCAAGGTGAAAAAAACAAACACAAAAATAAAACAAAATTGAAAAATTTACAGTTTTCACTAATTTTCCTTTTAAATCTTTTGATCGGCGGGCCTGTAGTACAATCTATAGTCGACTGTCTAGAGGAAATGACCATTCCTTCAAATATTGTACTACCAGTGGTCTTCCCACCCAATTCCATGGCAAAATAGTCAATTATTCCATTGATTTTCACACAAACCAAATGTGACATGGAGGCTGCCATCTTGGTTTTAGTACTGTACTGAACGAAATGTTGTATTTATGGGAATTTCCCAGGGAATTTTAGATGTTTTAGGGTAAAAATGTTTGTGTTTGCTTTTTTTACTTTTGGTCAAACTGTACACGCACGCGGACGCAAAACCAATAATCCAAGTCCTTTGGCCTAAGTAGTGAAACAACTACCTGTTAAAAAAAGTTAAGCGCGAGGCCTGGTGTAGAAAAATAATCAAAAATATTCTGAAAAAATTTTTTAATTTTTTACAAACATTTTGCTTCTTACCTCTTTAATATCCCAGATGCGAGTAGAAATAATCTTGATTTACGTCATTAAAAATTCACAATTCAGTCAAACTGATGTCATATTTGGAATCTACATGTAAAATTACATTTGGATATGTGGTTTTGAAAAGAGTTTATCAACTTTGAAAATTTAATTTTCTTTGAAAATGTGACTTCTAGGTCGGGGAGATTCCCCATAGACCCCATGTTGTAAAACCACAAAGAGTGAAATATCCTTTCTAGTGTTGGGCAGATAATATTTTCTTTTACTGGACATATTTTTTTAATTTGTATGACTATCAGATACATTAGGGTAATATGAAAAGTGAAGCACTAAAATTGATGCATATTCAAGTTTAAGGGAATTTTGTAATACCCTGCCATGTTAATTCCCCCAAATCAGCCACCTGGTGGCGAAACTGGTAACTACCTACTCGCATCTAAGTAATTCCGCCTCTTACCTTACGTTTGAACCCCAAAAATCTTTATACTTTTAATTGCCATTCTTAGGGGGCCATAACTGCATGATTAGAACATGTAGAGTTCTTATCTGTTATTTTGAGAATCATAGGTCCTCTAGAATTCATCCTATCAATGCCTGAATCTTGCGAAAAAAAAACTGGCAGGTTAGCATTACTGAAAAGTGGTAGGGGAGGTCTAAACCCCAACAGATTTCGCTAAAAGATTTTTTGCAAAACTCCATCTTGATCCGGAAAAAAAGTTGAAAAGTGAAACACCCTGCTGTATTGTTTCCTCTCTCTCTGGATCAGTAACTAACATGACTGTGTTGATCTTATTTCCAGGTCCGCCACATGAAATCATCTGGCCGTGGAGACAAAGTCGCTGTCTGTATTGGAACTGTTACTGATGATATCAGAATTCTAGAGATCCCAAAACTAAAGGTATTATACTATATCAATAACAGGCCTTCCCAGATCTCTTCTTTCTAGTTACAGTGATGTGAAGACAAACATAGAATTAATATTAGTTCTCTAAAAATTTATATGAAAAGGCACACAATAACATCAAGGTGATTCAAAATTTAAGTGGTGGGTTGATTTTACTTTGAGCATGTGCCTAGTAGCTATTCTACTCATTGCAAAAGAAAAATGCGCTGGCTTTCACGAGATGCTTGAATATTGTCAAGCACATTGCTGTCAAGAAAGCTAAAATGACTGCAGTATAAAGGCTTTAAATTATCTATAAGTTAGTATAACCAGCATAATGTATACAAAATGTTGAAATATTTATTTTTTTACAAGAATTGTTAGATATTGTAGTGCTGGACGCAAAAGAAAGAATTTGATTCTATGATGAGAAGGAATTACCGTTTGAGGTTAACTATGAAACCAAATGCGGCACTTTCTGAGAATCCTTGTTTTCACATTGCCACTGAAATGTTGAGTTACATTTGAGGGGTAGTTTTAGGTACCGTTTAGTCAGTCTATCGTTACCCTTTCCAGTAGTTGAATTTTAAAAGTCTCAGTTAGTTCAATTACTGTATTTGTATTTAATTTGGCGCTACTTAATTTGGTGATGTTTTGCTTTTGAGCCTATTAATTGGCGTCTATTTAATTTGGCAGTTTTTCAAGTGTCCCAGACATCCTCCTGTCTTACCTAATTCGAGTCAGTGTTGTTGATGAACAATTTTTTCAGTATTTCCTGTTGTTTATACACTTCTTCAATAGTTCTTAATTCTTTCAATTTAAATGGCCTGGCCATCTTGGTATATATATTTCTTTTATTGACAATTGTATCAAAACATGACACATTAGTCTATGTACAAACTAAACTGTCTTGACTCAAGACAATACTACACTATTAACTAAATGCTAGACTACATTTATAATTTCACTATGTACATGTAATTTAAAATCATTTGCATGAGTTTACAGGCTCTTTATAAAAACTTGATGCATAAAAGATGATAAAAAATGTATTAGCAGTGTAGCACAATTATTGCAGTTTATTCTAAATTTTGAAAAGACTTGTAAATATATTTGCCAATATGCCTTTGAACAGTAATATTTTGCGAAGACAATAGCATTTTAAAATTTGTTTCATTGATTAGAAAATTGGGTCCAAATATTTCTTTCATTTTTTCAAAGAGGACTCTCCTTTGTGCATCATGTTTTTTATAGGGCTGCCATCGAACTCAAATGTCAGTGTCGACAGTCGAACTCTGCTGTCGAAAATATTGTCGACAATCGAACTTTCCAGGGAGAAAAAATCATCGGGAAGTAATTGCCTAATATTGTTACTAAATGCCAAGTTAATAGAATATTATAGACGAAAATGGGACAAATACCTGCAATGTTTCGACCGGGATTTATTTCGACTGCTCGGGCGAAATCTCGTACAACGTCTCGCAAGAGAGAAGAGAAGTCATGAAGGGAACTTCCGGGTGAATTTATTTTTTGAAAATGAAATGAATGTGAACAATATTTCCGCAGAATACGCGCACATAACACGTTGAAATGTGTATTGAAATGTATTGGGGCCATTTGGATATTTTCAAGTAAGTATTGATATCGTTTGCTGTCGACATGACGGGAATTTTTGTCGACTTCGTTGTCGAACTTGCATTTTGACTGACAAGTCGACGTTCCGACTAATGATGGCAGCCCTAGTTTTTTACAATCAATAAAAAAATGTTTTTCATCTTCAACAGATGTACAAGTTAAGCAAAGTCTATCATTTGTTGGAATTGGTTTAGGTTTAGAATACCGGCCTGTTTCAATTCGAAGTTTGTGTGAGCTTAGTCGAAACCTGGCTATTGATTGTCTATATTTTCTATTATCAAGTTTTGTATAAGTTTCTATGCAAAAGTCATTCTTAAAAGTGTTATATGTACGAAGTATAGGAAAGTTATAATTCATATCTGTTCTCCATATATCAACAAAGTTACTTTTCAAGGTTTTTTCAACAATAAGTGGTACTATTTCTATATTATCTAAATTATCTTGATCCTCCCAGTATTTTGACATATTAACTTTGTGTAAAATATCATTAACTCTTGAAGCCCAAGTTTGAAAACCAAGTTCATGCATTTCTTTTTCATAGGAGTATGCTTTATGTAGTATGTTTGTTGGGGGGAGTTTGAGAATTCTTGTCCAGTATTTTATTAATGTAGTCTCAAATTTTATTGAGAGAGGATAACGCCCCAAGTCTCCATAAATTGCAGGGCTGGCAGTTTGTCTTTTCACACCAAGAATTGATTTCATGAATCTTAAATGCACCAGTTCAAGATTATCTATATGTTTTTTTGTTTGCCATATCTCACACCCATATGTTAGAATAGGTGTTACTAGAGTGTCAAAGAGATGTAAAGCAATATTGACTGGGACATCACCAAATTTCTTATACTGGCTTTTTATTTTGAAAATTGCCTTTCTTGATTTGTCAATTAAATATTTTGTATTTTTGTCAGATTGATTATCAGTAGTTTGGATACACCCAAGATATTTATATTCAGTAACACATTCTATTTTTTGACCATTGAAGTTAAAGTATACATCTGTTTTCTTTGTATTATATAAGAGAACTTTTGTTTTTATTGTATTAACTATCATTCTGTAACTTTTGCAGAAATTAAATAGAGCATCGAGTTGTTTTTGAAGGCCTTCAGCAGAAGTTGATAAGTTTTAAATCATCTGCCCATAAAAAATGGTTAATCATCTCATCCTGAATCTGTACACCAGTCACTAGGTAGAAAATCAGTCAGGTCATCTAAGAAGTGATTAAATAAATAGGTGCTGAGCACACTACCTTGCATAATTCCTACCTCTGTATTAAATTTTGATGTTATACCAGATCTTAGTTTGAGACAAGCCTTTGATTTTGAATACATGCTCTTTATTATAGTAAAAATTTTACTAGAGGGGTGTATTCCAGATTTGCATAATTTGAAAAGTAAGACGTCACGATCGATATAGTCAAACGCTTTTTTAAAGTCAATTACACATGTATAAAGAATTTTCTTTTGTCTTTTGAATTTACTTTTTATTGTTTGAAAAATAAAAATATTGTCTGTGGTTCTACTGTTTTTCTTATAGGCACCTTGGAATGGGTCTTGTAAATTAATTGTCTCAGCATTAAAGACTAATCTGTTATGGATCACTGAGTCAAAAACATTGCCTATGCAAGCTAACACATTAATGCCTCTATAATTATCTGGATTAAATTGACTACCTTGTTTATAAATAGTGCTTAACATACCAATACTCCAGTTTTCAGGATAATCACCCTTATTAAAAATATAGTTAAAAAGTGTAGTCATTGGTACTACCAAAGACTCACAGTTTTTTATTATGTCTGAGGGGTATCCATCAATTCCTGCTGATCGATTAGAGTTTATCTTTTTTAGGGCATTCATGACTTCTATAATTTCTATGTTTTTATTTAGGATAGAATCTGATATGTTAAAATCCTTGTTTTCAGTTTGAGTATTATTTACGTAATCGTTTGTATATGAAATCATGTATTTCTGAATTTCATTATCAAAATACTCTATGTTTGGGGGTAGAGATAATTTTTTAAAATATTCAAGAAGTTGTTCTGGGGGGATTGGGATGTCATTAAATGTCTTACCCGGAGTGCTATTAATTAAGTTCCAGTATTTTGTAGGGTTATTTGATTTATATTCTAGAAGTGATTTACAAAGATTGCTTGAGTATTTCCTTTTTTCACATTGTTTTACTCTATGGTATTCTTTAGTTAATAATTCTATATCATCGCTCTTTGGGTTTTCCTTAGTTATTTTATGAACTTTAGCCTTTAAATGTTTACATCTGTCACTGAACCATAGATAAACAGGAAACTTACTTGTACGAGATTTAGTGGTTTTTGTTTCAAAAATTCCTGTTGATGCATAACCCACCACTTCTAGTAATTTTGAAGTTAGGTCATCAGATGTAAGATTTGCTATATCAGAAAAGAAGTCATCAAGTAAAATTTCGCTATTTGTATCTTCAAGTTTTGATTTGAATTTAAACTTTTTATTTTTATCCCATTTAAAATATGTAAAGGGGTTAAGAATCTCATTTGTTTTGACTGATACTTCTTTTTGATTATTTAGTATGTCAAGTGAGAAATATAATGGTGCATGATCTGATTCTACCCTCAAGCTCATTATTTCAAAATCACTAAACAATGGAAATATGGAGGGTTGGGCTACAACATAGTCAATAACTGTTTTACCGTTTTTATTACTTTCATCACTGTTTGATGAGTTTGTTTTTCTAGATTTTCCGTGGTATGTGAATTGACCAATTCCTTTGTCTTTGAACATACGGCCATTGAGTATTCTCATGTCAGATGATTTACATAGCTCAAGGAAATCTCTACCGTGAGTCTGAGTGACTCCCCTCAGATTTTTGTCATTTGATACTCTTGGGATCTGTTTTATATATTAGTCATGTTGATTTGTACTATTTTGGTTGGTAAAAGGTAATTCACCATCTGAGCCTTCAATTTCATCATTAAAATCGGCTAATTCAGCGGTACGCGAGTTCATGTCACCACACAAAATGACTTTTCCAATAGTTTGGTAATAAGCTATAGATTCTTCTAAGACATCAATATTGTTAGAACCAGCGAGACCATCGTATACTGATCCCTTGAAGGGTATGTATGCAAAACATATGAATATATGGCTTTCTGTCTTATAGAATTCTGATCTAATTTTTATCCATATAAAAAAATCATGAGTTTGGGGCATTAATTCTACACCTCTTTTAAAAATATCATTTTTTACAAGAATAGCAAGTCCTCCTGAATAAACATTTACATGGTTAGTGTTACAACGCGTTTTACGAGCTAAATTTATACATTCAAAACCTGCTAAAGTAAAAGTGTCATCAGGAGAAAGCCAGGTTTCACTAAGTAAACAAATTGAATACTTGTTCATCAAATCAAAAAGATCACTACCATCATGTAATTTACCTGAAAGTCTATTTATGTTCCACACTAGAACTGAAAAAGTGTCATGTGGATTTGTACACACTTTGTTTTCAAAAGATGGTTCATACTGGACGTTATTATTTGAATTGCACAGATTGTCATTGCTTAATGTATTTACATCATTCTGGTATCTTATAAATGGTGTAGAACAGTCTTCCTGTACTATTGTACTACACTGCTTTTTGTCTAAAATCTGGTCATTTTTAGACCCCTGTGAGGGTGGTTATTCACTGATCTATTCCTGACAGTCTCAGCATAGCTTACAGGTATGTTGACTATTGACAGCATTGCATCAACAAGGCGGTTACGTCCAATGTTGTTGAAGTGTAGTCTGTCACTAAATAGCACATCCATGTTAGGTTCTTGCACTGTCGATTTGTTGAGATCATTTATGTTGATGAATCTGAAGCCTCTGTTCTGCGCAAAAATTTCCATATAGCTGGTCTCTTAGGGGCTCTGCTTTTGTGCAGGTGGGTTTACTGGGTGGTGTCATTGACTGTGGGAGAGAATTATTAAAGATGTCACATCCCATATTTTGTAGCTTCTGTACTAGGACAGTGTTTTTTCTATGTTGTGTACTCAGATCTGCTTTCAGGCCTTGTATTGTAGTAATATGATGTTTCTCATTTTGTTCGTAAAGTTCGAGTTTTGTTGATATGTCTCTTATCTCTTCATTATGAAGAAGTTTATTGGCAGTGGTATCATCCTCACGTTGCTTATCTGATGCATTTAGTCGAGACTGTAAGTCATTTAGTCTCGCATTCAGGTCAGAAAAGTGTTGGGTATATTTGGCATTGACTTCTTCTAGTTGTTTCTCCAGTGAAATAACCCTTGAACGTAGCTTTTTGTTTTGGTTCTGTATCTCTAGATTGGGAGATGGGTTGGCAATGTTAGATGTTTTAGGGGGTTCTGATTTCTCTGATGTGGGAGGGGGATTGGCTTGGGTAGGTGTGATAGCACTAAGTAACAGTTCTCCTTCCTCTGGTTGAGAAGTAATTTGCTCATGTTGCTGAGGCTGTATTAGTTCGGGGTCCTGTTGTGTTTCTGGGATAGTTGTTGGTTGCAGAATTGACTGTGATATCCCTGGTTGTTCAACATCTGTTTGAGTGTTCTGTACAATGGTATGTGTATCCCTATTGAGGAAGAAAATTATGCTGTCTTCTCCAATATCAATGTCATTGGCTATATCAGTTGAGTTGGGTGTGTCTAACTCACTAAACATATCATTTTGTGTTGAAGTTTCATAACCATTCGGTGTAGATGAAGATGTAGGGGCATTAAGGTGGTTAGGTGTTCCCAGTGATGCAATTGTACCTTTAATAAGGTAAAAATCATTTTCCCGCCAATCTTCAAGTTCTTCTCCACTGATTGTGATTACTCCAGAGTCACTAACATCCATGGATATGTAATCTTGTATTGATATCCGAGTACTATGTTCCAGACGTTTTGAGGTTGAGGTCATTCCTTTGTTCTTGTAGAATTGGGTGAATGCCTCAATCCATAGTAAGATTCTCTCAGTATAGAACCCAAGGTTCTGGTAGTCATCATCAAGTTCTAATGTACCTGAGTTTTTGAGATCACGGTACTCTAAGTTCTCATGTAGGATTTCAGGATTTTTCTTTAGAGTCCTTATATTCTGTTTTCTTAGATTTCTCTTTTCCTTCCCTTTTATATCAGGGGATGAGAATGTCTTTGCACATGTGTGTTTAGGTCTTTCTATAATGCCATTAGCCATAATTAAGATCAGCCTTAATATTTAGAGTACATTGTTAGTAGTTGTTAATCCTATAATCCTATAAGTGGCTATATACAACAACATGTATATTGTTGATAAACAAAGGTTTGTTTTGGCTGTTCCATTTGGTATATCTTTCTTATAACCGAAAATGCACCAAACGAAACACATGTCAAATTCTCTGGATTTTTGCGACTATTTGATTGAGCGATTTTTTTTTTAATTTGCCAGCTTGTTTCGTTATTAAAAATATATATTCATAGTAGTATTGGTAATAGTAGTTCACTCTTGCAATGTTATTGCAGGTATGCGCACTTCATGTGACTGAGAGAGCACGTGCTAGAATCCTTAAGAATGGAGGAGAACTGATCACTTTGGACCAGTTGGCACTGAAGGCACCCAAGGGACAAAACACAGTTCTTTTACAAGGTAATTCATTATCAATACTTGAGACAATACTTAAAACCTGGCATGGTTAAGAAAACATTGGTAGACCGTCCATTTTAAATGTTGCTTAATTTTGAATCTGTTTAAAGATGTCATTTTAAAAGCAAAAAAGGCTCCAAAACGTAATAAAATATGTAGTTTGGATGTTCATTTATGTCTGTGGATTATATTTTATACCACAAACACTTATAAATACCTGAAATTTGCAATAAAAGTGCCCAAAAATTGTTGTTTCGAAATTCCCCATTTTTCCTGTATAGCGCTAGTCACGTGACCCTTACGCGTAGCAGTAGTATTACAGATATTACAGTACATATTTCAACATGTTCAATATGGCAAACATCAGCGATTCTGACTCCCGGGTTCTGGGAAATGGCTATATTTAAATCGGCGAGAGGGTGTTATTAAGGAGGACAATTTAAGGAGGGGAAATATGTCCAAGTATGCCAGTAAAAGAGCAGAAATGGACTTTAGACAAGTACTATGACGGAGAATCAACTAAAAAAATGTGCGTTCTGGAATGAAGACCCGTTGCCATTGACTGAGAATCCCAGCGATCCTATAATCCTACTCAGTTTGAATTTAGACGCGGAAAACAGGTTATGAAAACGGGCTCTCTGCAAAGTTATCAAATTTAGAAAATATGGATCTTGTTTTTGAGTGGCTTAACAAGCATTCGGATACAAGACTTGGCGGTATCTCTTGTCAAATACACGCAGACTTGCAGTAAATTGGCCATTGCATATTGCAAAATCAGATCGTCAAATTAATCGCTTCGTTTTTAAACGTATGCTTCATATCTTCATCCAAAACTTTAGGATTCGATAGAGAAAAGTTAAAACTTGTACAGGAAGAAATGGGAGATCCTACCTTAATTTAGAATCGCTGATTTCTCTGGACAAATTCCGAGAAGAAATTGTTCAACATCGCGATCAGCTCAGACTAAACTTACATGTCGTGCATGTCACTCTGAACTCACGTGATAAAATACGGCATTTTGATTGGTTACTACTCGTGTTGTCATGACGCGAAAAACAATAGTAAACACTGAATATGTTAATGAACTGTCATATATGGAGCAATTGTCTTTCTGATTGGTTAACTTTACACGCCTCCTAAATGAATATAGTAGTCGTAGTAAATGATTCATTGATAACTCTGAAAGTGGGCGTGACCAGCTTTATTAATGGCCTCGCAAGAAGAGGTTGAAATATCGGCAGTTTGATACTGATATGGTCTACGATAGACCAAAATTGACTGCCCCGCGTCATATGTCACGTGAGTCTATATTTGTTGAAAAATGAAAGAGATAGTGACACTTTTTAATCTTAAGTTAATACCAATATTACAAACACATATCTATTTTTTTCATTAAATATTTATTTCTTCATTATACATACATTTGTTTTACACTGCATTGATTTATTTTTGCAAAACCTTTGCTATTAGATCTTTAATGTTCAAATCCTCTTGTCAATGGCATGACCAATCTGTGTAGTGATTGATTGTGAATAAAACTGAGGTATATCAATGGTGGATTTCGTCTTCGGTGCCAAGTTAATAACATAACTTGGGTCTATCCTTACAATCCACAACACAAAAAAGGTTTCGGTTGATTTAAGGATTTAAGCCCTGGACTCTTGTGCAATGTGGAATGACTTTGCACAAGATGCAGAGCATGGAGTGTTAATTTTAGGAAACAACACCCTGAAAGTAATGGTCATTACACAATGCATTGATTCTTGGGCTTAAATTCTTTTCACACATTGCAAAATATTTCCTACAAAATCATTTAAAATTTTTAATGAAGCTTTTTGCAAGAGTCAAGCTGGCAAAATATCAATTCAATCTGTAGAGTCCAGTCATCACCATGACAACCGTTTAACTAGTGACTATGAGATATGTAATGGAATGCAGTTTCGTGAAATAACATTTTTTGATTGACTGTAATTGGACACACCTTGCCTTTATGTGTAAATCTGTAGTTATTACCAAGCAAGCAATTTGTATCTCTGCATTAGTCCATAAACTATGTGTTTAAAATATTAAATTCTGTGTAATTTTAATTATAAAAAATGTATTTGTGTTTGATGGTTCCAGGTCCCCGTAAGGCCCGTAGCGCATACAGTCACTTTGGCAAGGCCCCTGGATTGCCCCACAGCCACACCAAACCATTTGTACGAAGCAAAGGCAGGAAATTTGAGCGTGCTCGTGGTCGTCGTAGCAGCAGAGGATACAAGAAATAAACTATTTAACATGGACTGTTGTACTGACTTATCTTGTATGCTGAGCCTTTGTCCTTGTAATGGAATAAAATGCTCATTAAGTGGAATCTGTAGTCACGTTTTTTGAGTGAAGTGTCTAAGCATGCTTCTGTTGAGTCATTCGTTTGTCAGCCTGAGGATTCCAAGATTATATTAATTTAAAGGTCTCTGTACACTGTGTACAGTTTCTCTGTATATTGATGTTGGATCACCAATTTTGAAGCAGTTTAATGTTAATACCAAATAGTTATTATTCAATCAAACATAGTTTGAGATGGATAAAGGGATGCCGTTCCTTTTTCTGTCTGGGTAAAAACTCAAATACCAGATGACCGATTGGATTCCAAATTTTATAGGCTGGTGCCTTAGGATAAGACCTCTGTTTGAAAAGGAATTTCGAAGGTGTCATTTTACGTAAATAATGTAATCTTAAATAATGGTAACTCGGATACCAGTCAACGGATTTGGTTCAAATTTTATAGGGTGATGTCCTTAGGATATAGGACTTTATACAATAAGATTGAAACATCCTCCAAAACATTGCTTACTTTGAATAGTATTTCTTGCTTTTCTCGTAACAGCAAAAATTGTGAAAAGTGTGTAATGGCCACCATTTTTATCTAAAAGTTACTCTCTCTTTAAGATTCACTGAAAGCCACCTCATAACTATATCCCCCATGTAAAAAATTAAAATTAGTTCCGTAGGTACTTGGCTCATATGGTGTACCTGTACCTGTACAATTTGAAGCAAATTGATGGAATACTTGTGCAGTTATAACCAAAAAACTGAAAACCTAATTTGCATAGAATATAATTTGTGGCCATTTTGAATCTTTACGACATATTTTGTTGAAATGTGTAGACATTATTGATATAAACCTAGAAATAAACGTACCTGAACAATTTCAAGCAAATTGATGGAATACTTGTGGAGTAATAATGAAAAAATAGTTGAAAACTTGATTTTTCTCCAATTGAAGTGGCGGCCATTTTGAATCTTTGCAACATAGTTTACCAAACTTGTAGACATCTAGGAATAAAGGTACCTGTATGATTTCAAGCAAATTGAGGGAACACCTGTGGAGTTATGACCAAATATGAAGCTGAAAACCTGATTTTTCCCAATAAAAGTGGTCGCCATTTTGTGACACTTGTTTTGCCGAAACTTGAAGGCAATATTGATAATGTATAAATTAAGGTACCTGTACTATTTGAAGCAAATAGGTGAAAAACTTGTGGAGTTATAACGAAAACAAAGCTGAAAACCTGCTTTTTGCCCAATAAAAATGGCCGCCATTTTGAAACAAAATGAGCTTTTGAAACACCACAATTGACGACCTTATTTAGACACATTTTAAAAGTGAACTCGTTCCAATTGGAGCTACCAATGTTTTTACAGACAGACGAATGGACAGACAAGTGAGTGATAACAATAGCTCACCCATGTGAGCTCATAAAAATGACTAGGTTATATTTCAGTCTCATCACCATTTTTACACCAATTCATAGCCTACATCCTCATCTATTTTGTGTTGAAAAAATCAAGATTGGTTGAAAAATAAGAGAAATTGAGGTGCAGTGGTACTTAACATTAAATGACAAAACAGGAAGTGACAAAAATTGGGAATTTTTCGACATTTTTTGAACAAAGAACAGAGTTCTGTTTGACCTCCAGTCAATTCAAATAATTACACATATCATTTACTGGACCAGGATCAAAACGTCCATGGTAAGAATGACACTAAACATGATGAAATAACTTTTTCAGGCCGCTGAAAATGTGATGGATACGCCCCATCAAGTCTATGACTACAAACGTGAAGTTTCATTCTAAACGCCATTCGAATTGTTTAGAATCAATCAATTATTTAGTCTTTACTGGGATATGAATCGGCTCAGGGGCGTGGGAAGGTGTAAATTCAACACTACGCCAAAAAATGAAACATATTTTGTCAAATCTACATCAAAACGCCTATTTTATGTAAAACGTCATTTTATGGCAATACCTTTCTAATGTGCTTAAAATGTTCGAATGTTTTCATCCATATAAAATCACCAAGGAAAATCGATCTTTTAAATCTCGACACAACTCATTCTCACGTTTCTGAGTAAATGCTATTTTTCTGGAACGATATAGACGAATTTCCAGATAACAATCAATGAGAGATTTTAACCATTTCTGAATAATTGAATTTAGATACATATTATTGGCCTATAATTCCATTGTGTATCGTGCAATACGACAATACAGATTAGAGAAACTAGTATGATCAATCGATTTAAAGAAACATTCGTGATCAATGATACAATTAACCCAAATGTCTGCAATATTTTTAAAACACTAATTCGCAAGACCAAATACCCTCTCCCCCTCAAATCGAGGTCAATGTGACTTGGGGGTGCCAAAAATGCTATATTTCCTAAAATAATAATCTTGGAACATGCACAAAAATTGCAAAGATAATAAGTAAGTAGAAAAAACAGTTTTTCTCTCAAATTCGTAAACTGGTAAAGAGAACGCGATTTACGAATACATGTATTTGGCGAAATTGTAGTTTACTTTTAAAATTCAAAAGATAGTCAATTAGTGGCTCGATTTTTATGAAATAAAGCATGTTGGAAATGGAATTCAATCTCTCAAAGATTATTTACCAAACAGAGCAATAATGAATACTTTTCACAATTTATGCACAATGAGAAAATATGACTAAAGAACGGGAAAGAAAGGAAAGTTAATCAGCCTTCTTTAATCCCACTTGTCAACACTACGCGCTGGCGTTTTGGCGAGATGAAGTCGAACGAATGCAAAGGTAGTGGACGCCACAGTTCAACGATATCTTCCACCGCTTATTGGGGGAACAGTCATGAAACCGAAATCCCCGTAACCTTTCCTTAAGCGGTGGAAAATATCGTTGAAGCGTGATACCATGGGCTTTCTGAAATTCGTAAACTGGTAAAGAGAACGCGATTTACGAATACATGTATTTGGCGAAATTGTAGTTTACTTTTAAAATTCAAAAGATAGTCAATTAGTGGCTCGATTTTTATGAAATAAAGCATGTTGGAAATGGAATTCAATCTCTCAAAGATTATTTACCAAACAGAGCAATAATGAATACTTTTCACAATTTATGCACAATGAGAAAATATGACTAAAGAACGGGAAAGAAAGGAAAGTTAATCAGCCTTCTTTAATCCCACTTGTCAACACTACGCGCTGGCGTTTTGGCGAGATGAAGTCGAACGAATGCAAAGGTAGTGGACGCCACAGTTCAACGATATCTTCCACCGCTTATTGTGGGAACGGTCATGAAACCGATATCCCCGTAACCTTTCCTTAAGCGGTGGAAAATATCGTTGAAGCGTGATACCATGGGCTTTCTGAAATTCGTAAACTGGTAAAGAGAACGCGATTTACGAATACATGTATTTGGCGAAATTGTAGTTTACTTTTAAAATTCAAAAGATAGTCAATTAGTGGCTCGATTTTTATGAAATAAAGCATGTTGGAAATGGAATTCAATCTCTCAAAGATTATTTACCAAACAGAGCAATAATGAATACTTTTCACAATTTATGCACAATGAGAAAATATGACTAAAGAACGGGAAAGAAAGGAAAGTTAATCAGCCTTCTTTAATCCCACTTGTCAACACTACGCGCTGGCGTTTTGGCGAGATGAAGTCGAACGAATGCAAAGGTAGTGGACGCCACAGTTCAACGATATCTTCCACCGCTTATTGTGGGAACGGTCATGAAACCGATATCCCCGTAACCTTTCCCTAAGCGGTGGAAAATATCGTTGAAGCGTGATACCATGGGCTTTCTGGTTATACTGATCAGTGTAGATGCCATGATTTTAAAAAACAGTAAAACACCGAATTGTGACGTTTTTCAATCGGAAACATGGAATATACTTTTTAAGGTGTTGATGATCAATGTTATCTAATTTTATTTTCAAGTAGCAAGTCTACACAATATTGGAGCAAGACTTCTTCCTTAATAATTAATGTTAAACGAACCGAAAAGATCCACTGACAGGTATAAACTTCTTTCAGATGATGTCATAAATTGATAGGCAAGTCACGAAACGAGTAAAACATATAATAATGTAAAGAAAAGAAAATGTTACTCTTGACTCAATTTGTCACTTGTCTTGCCGCCTCTTGGAATTATTTCTACATCATTTGAATAAAACCGATCATTGTCATGCATAGAAACGACGGGGCGCGAACTCCCGTGCAGTGATATATCACTGCGGCGGGCAGATATCTCACCGTAAGCATGGTAACTTCGAAATAAACAACTGACGTGATTGGTTCTAGTCCCATGCTCAGGTCGCGTGATTGTTGAATTGCGCGTATTAACTAATAAACAACACGTGCGGTAAACTATTATCAACACAACTTTTACGCAGATTTCCTTCCGCGGTGATTTCTTCTCATGTTTCAATAATTTTGAAATATTTTGATAAAATAATGTTTGGGGAACATTCATAAATACATATTTCATAAGTTGTGTGAAGATTGACCACATATATGATGAAAAGGGGAACTATTTTCCCCAAATTTTGGGGATTTTCTTCATCTGCCCGCCGCAGTGTCTATACCGAGACACTGCATGGGAGTTCGGACGGGGCGCAGTGGAAGAGGACGAATCGTATTGATCAATTTTTAATAGACGTGAGATTGTTTTCAAACCTGCTCCGTTTAATGCCAAAATATTTTGAAGCAGTGATGGAGGGTTGTAATGGGCATCCATTCGGAAAGTATGGGCGAAAATAAGGAAGGAACTGGGGAGATAACTAGACTTCTAGTTGAAATCTATGAAAATTCGTGTGATCTCACATCTGGGGACCCCCATGCAGGTGGGGACCCTAACGCCGCTAAAACGAGAGACTCTGTAGAATAATGCAATACACCAACAGAAAGGCATTTTTCTTTTGCTTTGTATGGAACAAGTTTGAAGAAAAATGGTGCAGTGTGAGACTCACAATCTTTGGTTTCATACACCTGGTAGATTTAAAATTCAAATTAAACTGTTTTTGCGGGACCGTCCCGAGTAGTTGGACCCCCGTGTAACTATAATATTGAGAGGTCCAAGAAAATGTTGCATATGCTATTTTGTTCCAACAAGGTTCGGAAAGATATTTTATTTCATTCTCAAGAATTGGTAGAAAGGAACAAAAAACAATTGCACAAAAAATCAAAAAATATTAACAAAAACAGTTATAAAAAAACATGTAAATAATTTTCGGATTTAATTGTTGTCGATCAACAAAAAAGAACCGTGTTTTTTACAGAATGAAACACAATGTTGAATTCAGTTCGCCATATTGATACCAATCCTTTTCAAAGCTGATAAACACTTTTTAAAACCGCATTTCTAGATGTAACATTTATAGATATCAAATATGATATCACTTAGACTGAATTTTGAATATTTAATGATGTAAATCAAGATTTTTTCTACTCACACCTCGTCTGTTTGGGTTGTGACCAAGGAGGATTGGCTCCCAGAGTGCAACATCGATATTCTGCCCCATATATGGGCATGTCGTGCTACAAAATTTGAATTCCAACGACCGCCATTTTGTTCACTTCAACATTTGAATCGTGAATTTTGGTCTTATTTCCTAACGAAAAATTCCAAAACTCACAAGAAATGATCGAGATATTGGTTCGAATATTTTGAACTGTTTATTTTGAATTTATAATCGGTTTTAATTTCAGAAAATAACGACATTTCGGCGTTTTCATTGTTGGAAAATATCGACTTCGATTCTGGGAGCCAATCCTCCTTGGGTTGTGACATTGATAAAACTTAAACAAGGCATTAACATGACAGATTGTCACCACCTAGTTGCTCACAATATCAATCACAAGTTCAACCTTAAGTCAGATTTGAATTTCTGGGAACTTGTAGATGATTTCGCCAATAAATTGGTCAATTTGAAGCAAGATGAAAAAACCTTTTTGACCTTGAGAAGGTCATGGAAGGGCAAATCTTTTTTGAACATAATGTCATTGAAGGTGAAATCTCAAATCTCAAGTCAGGATTGAACTTCTGAGAACTTGTAGATAATTTTGAAAAAATTGGTCAATTTGAAGCAAGATGAAAAATACCTTTTTGACCTTGAAAAGGTCATTGAAGGTCAAATCCTTTTTGACCTTGAGAATGTCATTTAAGGTCAAATCTAGTCAGATACGAACTTTTGAGAACTTGTAGATAATTTTGAAAAAATTAGTCACTTTGAAGCAACAAGATGAAAAAAGACATTTTTGACCTTGAGAAGTTCATTGAAGGTCAAATCTTTTTGACCTTGAGAATGTCACTGAAGGTCAAATCTAATCAGATACGAGCTTTTGAGAACTTGTAGATGCTTTTGAAAAACAAAATTGGTCAATTTGAAGCAAGATGAAAACGACCTTTTTTTACCTTGAGAAGGTGATTGAAGGTCACATCTTTTTTTACCTTGAGAATGTCAAACCTTTGAGAACTTATAGATGATTTTGAAAAAAAATTGGTCAATTTGAAGCAAGTTGAAAAAATACCTTTTTGACCTTGAGAAGGTCATTGAAATTCAAATCACAAATCTAAAGTCAGATTTGAACATCAGTTAATTGGAGTCAGTCTAAACGGTATTTGTTAAGATATTGGAAGTTGTAAGAATTTGTTACAGACCTGATCGCCAACCACCAACCGCCGTAAAAAAAATGTAACATACCATAACAATATGTCACCACTTTTTGGAGGTGACATGAAAAAACAATCAAAAGACCCCAAGTGCAATTATGTGGAAAATGCATTCATATTTTACATGCATAACATTTGTTTATTTCAGACTGTTTATCTCAGTTTGGAGAACGAAGTTCATCAGTTTACTACACGTAACGCCTGCTTTGGACTATTCTGATATTTTTACATATTGTAGATGTAAATGTCCTCTTTTGAATACCCACAATTGAATTTGGGTGTTATTATGTTTTTCATTAAAAAATTATTAGCGCCGGGACTGATGAACTTTGTTCTCAAAACCAAGACTTTTTTTAATTGAATCGGTCTACTGCACATTACGCCTGCTTCGGACAATTTTGATATTTTAACATATTGTAGATTTAAATGTCCTCTTTTGAATATTCATAATTATTTAATTTGAGTGTTATTTCTATATTTTTCATAAAAAAATTATTAGCCCAGTAGACTGTTCTCCAAACCTAGACTTGTCTTTTTTTATGTGGAATAAACATATGGCCTCATGTAATTGAGTTTCAGCCATGTTAATGTTTTCAAAAATAACATGGCAGAGAAGCATCAAAATATAAGAGGCCAAACATTTTGGCAACCAAACCACAAGCAATCAAAAATATTCAAACATTTTAAATGTAAAATAAGAATGTATTTATCCATATAATATTGTACTGTGGTATTTCAATTACTTATCTTTTGGGTTAAGAAAATTTTCAAAGAGAGAATTTTTCAAAAAATGTCAAACGTAACATATAGCTGTTATTCTTAAGTAAACATCTGCAATGGGTATTTTGAGGCTGTGCTGTGTGGATGTTCAATGCACACACTTATTCATGCAACAAATATTTTGTAAGAACACACATACAGTGTATTAACATTTTCAATCTTTTTATATCTTCATTTCATTTTTTTTATTTTACATTTGTGAGATATTCGCTAATGTGGGTTAGCAATTAACCACATCTCCATAAACATACAATGAAAAAATGAGACAATATATATATTGGACACATTGTTGCAAACACATCTGATTCAAGTCATTTAGTTTTAAAGGTCACTCTTTATAAACTGGTGGGAAGTAAAGACCAATGAGTACAGCATCAGCTTCCAGTAGAGTTACATCCTTGGTGGCACCTAGGAACTTTGAGGATAACTCTAAATCTAGTAATTTCAACCGGACCTTTCTGCCTAAAGTGTACTCGTTGCTACGAACAGCAGGGACTTTGCACACACATGGAAACTTGCCACCAAAATCAATGTATAAATCATCATCTATGAGGTTTATTATTGTTCCAATCAGCATACGTGATTCAGGGTTGCCTAATTGCATTAGCTTAGAGTGACGTAACATTGTGGCAAAACTTTCTTTCTCCTCAACATCATTATCAGGCAGATTCGCTTCATTCATCTGCTGGCCTAAAAGCTGAAATGTTTTTGATTTTGTGAACCCCGAGGGTTTTGCTTGGTTTCCAGAGGCATCTTGTACTGACGATGAAGTGTAACCATGGCTACAAGAAAAGATTGCAGTACGAATGTTTGCTGAATAGGCAATTCTCCATATTTTTAGTAAATTTGCCATTCTTATTTTTCCAGAATATAACACTACAGTTTATATTTATTTTCCCAATAAATCTACACCCTAGTTTAAATGTCTTCAGTTACTGAGGCTTGTCACCTATGGGAAAGTTCAGTTTGTCCATGAGGTCGTCAATTTTCTCTTGAAGTAAATCAATGCTATCAGCTGATAGGAACAGATGCGTTTCATCCAGGTCTTGAATCACAAACTTTCTCCCGAGAGCGTTGGTTTCATCCAAATGAAGTAGAAACTGTTTCATAGCAGGATCACTGGAAAACATATGCATAGTCTACGATGAATAAGGGTATATAAAACACATCAAATTATTTGATACAATGACACAGGGATTGGAAAGTTCAGAATCAATGACATTATTTTGTTTAATGTGTCTTAAAATAAAATTAAGAGAAACAACTGAACAAAGAAATGATTATTGTATAATAAAATTTTTATTTTTTGACTCAGTCTATCTTTCACAGACTGGCTAGAATCCTGTTTGATAACATACCATGCTTTCTCATGGATATAATATCAGTGAAATTCTGTAAATAAAATTATTTCAATTAATCCTTTGCTTACAAAAAAGATATACAGGGTGAGCAATAAAGGTAACCAAAAGAAATATTAATTATTCAAGTATGGTTCAAGAGGCTGGTATTTTGAGCATGTTTCATAAAACATTATGTAAAATGGCCATAAAGTCATGATCATTGGCTTAATAATTAATTGTGCTAAATATGACTTTAAACTCATGCTGAACTAGACAACAGCAATGCCAAAGCGTAGCAAATCCCATTGAACAGCCATGGCTGGCATTTTTACAAACAAAGTATAAAGCAAAAATCGTAAAATAACACACAAAAAAGGCCACCATTTTCAAAATGGTTGCTCACTAGCCAAATTGTCATCAGAAATATGCTTATGCTTTATGCTTCTAAGTAAGGCACATATACAATTTCAACAAAACTGCACACACATACATGCAAATGGCGGCCATTTTTCAAAATGGCCACCTACTTGCCAAATTGTCATAAGACAGTGTACCATGCTTATGAGTATTCACATATTAAATATGAACAAAATCACTCTACAACTTTTCGAGTTACAAATGTAGAGTAAAAAATGTAAAATAACACAAGGTATGAGGTTCCATATCCATCCGCCAAAAGGTATGACCCCTGTGTGGTTTTGTTCTAAATAATGCCATAGTTGGCTTCTAAGGTACCTAGTATGCCACTATTTGGTATCAAAATAAAGAGGAGGAGTTCAACTTTCATTTGAATTACGAAAATAGCGATGTAGGTCAAAATAGTTCCGACGTGATCAGGTTTACTACGCGTTTGCCCGTCATCTCAGAATTGAGGAGATGGTAGCAAACGCGAGTAACAATAAATGGACGCTGATATCTCAAAAAGTAACCTGACTGGCTGACTCCCTATAATTTGATGTAGATCAATCGAACCCCTATATGAACAGGTACATTTTGATATATAACACTATGGGGGGTAAGCGTTTTATAGTTGATCACGAGCGCAATATGTTTCAGATAGTAATGTATAATGCAGCAAAGCTGTGGCCTTTTGTAATTTAGGAAGTTTCAGCCATGTTAATATGGTCATTTGATTGCTTATTTTTTAAATTCAAAGTAGTCACAAACATTTCTGTTTTGACTGTATGTGCAAATATAGTAAGTATGGCCCAGGAGTATGGCTCTCTCAGTGCTGCGCATGCGCAGAGTTAAATTTGAAATCGTGGGAATGACGTTAACAGCAGTTCAACATCATCATTTCAAACCTACGGTAATACTATTGAAGTTACTCGATCCATACTTGTAGAGAATACTCATAAAACTACAGTGAACATTTGGAGATTCATTTCAACCACGGACCTCTGCCAGATAAGCTCCTCTGTGTCTAGGCTCAATATATATACTCAAGGACAAGACACGCGATTTTCGGAAAATTTATTTTTCCTTGATTTTGGAGTCAGTTTATCAATAAATATCACATGTCATACTTCAAACGATGCGTACTGTTGTTAGCTTCAACTCCAATCACTAAAGCCACACATCCAAGAAAGCGTCTGTTGATAAAAGCATAAAATAAGCGAGCGTATATTTAATGGAGCACTTGGGCTATCTCCGTTGTTCAAATGATTATTCCTGAAGTGAAATGCCTTTTCTGAGAATGTGACGCCACTCCGGATGACGTCATATCAGAGATTACCGAGAAGTCCCATGATGTTTCTTTAAACTCCCCGGAAACAATAACAACGGTTTGTTTAGGCTACGCGATTCTTTACTTTCATTGGCTGTTTGTTGCGATGTGACGTAATTTGAGAGACGAACAACATCGGACACTGCCAGAAATTACCGAAGCACTCCATTATCTTTACGCTCTGAAAATTTGAAATAAATGTCCCGGGAAAAGTTGAATTACAGCGTCAATAATAGATATCAATTGCAACCATTCAAACTAATACATAAAGAAGAGATTACAGGGTAAATATTGATCAATCAATGTCTGACAGATGGAAAAAATAAAGGTCAGTACGAGGGTCATATTTTCGGATGGTCATTTTTTTGAAGTAGCATTTTTGGCTCGTGTCTCATCTTCCCATTTATCCTTTGAGCCTACTACCAATAGGGGCTAGATCTGGCTCCGGATCTGTGATTTCAACGGCAAATTGAGGCCTGTTTATAAAATTTGTTTTCGAACATGCTAATATGAAAGGGAAATCTACCCATACAATAACTATATTTCTGCGTTCCCCTATACATGACCTTCATCTTGACCATATATTTAACATAGGGTTTGCGTCTTGATTTTTAAATATCACTACGCCAACACAGGGACTCGTTTTTAGGTAAAATCCCTGCTTCACCGATGAAAATTAACGAATAAAGTAGTTCAAGTTTACGGGACTATATTCTTGCGATTTTTTTCTAAAAATGGCACATTTAGAAAGTAATTGGCCTCAGCTTTACATACATACCTCAAATGGCCACATTGCATACACTTAAACCTACTATACACACCATTGAAGTTTCATGGCTTCGTTTTCAAAGTATTAAAAAACACTACCCGGAAGTGGTATTTACCGTAGTAACACCTTAATATCCAAAAATCGGAAAATTTTACTATTATAATTTTTGCTCATTCAGCATTTTTTCAAACAATTGAGTTATGTCATGCTCAAAACAGCTGCATTTTCAAACTTTTAACACATTTTCTACAAAATCTAGTCATATTTGGGGAAATAGGTGAGGACTGAGTCTCTAAAAACTGGCCAAAAAGACCTAAAATTGGGTTATCAACTTCAGAGATCTTATGCAAAAAATTTAGACGCCAAATTCCTGAGATTATTTCATTTTGAAATCATACTCAGAATGTACTGAAATGTATGTTGTTAAATGCAAATATTTTGAGTCAAATGTGGTCCCCATGTGCAAAATTTGCCCTTTTTCTCCCCCTTTACGCCAGTTAGGCCCCAGTGTACTGTGACATCATACTCATACCATTGCTACAATGTAGCAATTTACAAATTAATCATGATTACTCTTCCTGTGATACACCTGTGGTAGTTGAACACTGTTTATTCCCCAGTGTGTTGATTGATTACACGCCAGCTTACTTAGTTACTTACTAAGTACGCAATAACCAACATCAAAGACCTGCCGGCACCTATTTATTTTCGGATTGGTAATGGAATTTTTCAAGGGCAATACGAGAAGAATTCAATTTTTCATTATTTAATGATAATTGCGGTAGATTTTACGGTAGTTTGAACAAGAATACTGTTAATTCAAGCAGAAATATGGTAGATTTTCAAATATTTACGGTATATTTTACGGCCGTTCTTATAGAAAAAATCGAATTATAATAAAATGTTTTATGGTAGATTTTGGTAAAATTACAGTAGATTTTTTCAGTTTTTTTACAAGAAAAAACAGTAATTTTTTACGGTATTTATATTATTTTTTATGGTAGATGCCGGTAAAAATACGGTAGGTTGGCAGGTATGAGTTACCATTGCAACCGTGGAAATGGGTACCAGCCCCCCCCTCCTAATCCGCCAGTGGAAGGTTTATCACTTCAATTATTTTCAAGCCTTGGTCAAAGTAAAACTACGAAAAAAGCACTCATTTTCACTTTAGAATCACCTATTATCGCCCTATTGGCTATATGTTGTCAAGGTCGCCATGTTAAAAGTAGAATTAGAATGCTCTTCAGACAATGTTTGATAGCTTTCCTTTATCACGGAACAAAGATCTTTGCACTGGTATGCCCATTTCCATGAGATAATGCACGTGAAAGAGGAACAGTGTCTTTAAATGTCATCAAAACTTTTTCGCACTACTTTTGGTGTAATAATACCATCTGATTGATTGTTGGTGTAAACAGCGAGTCGGGTTAATCTGCACGAGGTTCGGTTTTTCATTAAGGGAAGTACTTTATTCCCATGATTCAAAGTGCTTTTCTGCCATTGGTTCGGTTAAAGTTTGTACAACAAACGTCCACGAATCCAGGGCAGGTTGACATTATATCATTACATTTGTTTTGGGTGTATAGTTTTTGTTTTGACAATAAACAAAAGAATCCTGCAATATATGGTGCATCATGGGTAGGACACGCTGTGAAATATGAACGTAAGTGACATCTATGTCAAATTAAATGTTCCTACAAAGTTATTGATCGCGCATGCGTCATGATAACTTAAACCAATCAGATTACTGGGTTTAATGCGCACGCGCTATAAACCGAATACTTTCCCGGGATTCGGGCTTTAGGATACGATTTTACACTGACCGATTGCAAACGAGGTTTAGGGAGATGACGCGGTTGTGAAACATTTGGTGAAGAATGAGCACATTTGAACTGATTTCTACGATCTCAACGTAATTTGAGGTATGGACTTTCATTTTTAATAACACCTTGGTGTCTTATGGACCTCCGTCACTAAAAATAATAGGGAAACACTTGTGTAGAAACGTCGAATTCTTAGTCTGAAAAGTAGGGTGTCTGTAATTTTATAGAAAAATTGCCAAAAGCTTATGAACTTTTAGCTCTTACTAAGAAAGGCAGAGTATATCATACCATAGGTGCATCCATGCACCCTCTGGGTCTCTGAGGATCGTGTTTGCAATGCAAGTCCTTTCGACAATCCAACGCATTAGAGGCGGTGTTCACCGTCTAATCATACCATTGATAGTGCTGACTTTGGATAAATCACCCATTTTATTTTCCTCAATTTTTCATATAGAAGTATATTAGGCCTATATGTGCTCACTCTAGTTCTCTGAGATCTCTATCATAATGTTCTACCTACCATTCAACAAGAACACCTTTCATAAGGTTCACCATCGTAGTATGTTGACATACATTACGCTGAGTCTGACAAACCAGTCTGACCAACATGAAACCGGAAATCTGATGATAGCTAATGTGTGAACAAATAGTAGACGCCGCTGTAAAAAGCAGTAAACAAAAAACTAAGATCATTTGATATTCGTTTAGTATCAAATATAAATATTTTCAACATATGTCAGGAACATTAGATCTAGTGTTTATAAATATTCTCTGGCAGATTTCCAAACAGTGTGTTACCTCGCCAAAATGTCCGGTCACATGATCAATGTTTCAAGATGGCTACTGACCTGATTGGAGGTATGTCTCGTATATTATTAATTTGAACCCTTCTCAATGGATTAATTGCTACGATTTATGATTGGCATTCTTTCTTAAATATATATATAACGATCGGTTACCATTTTTTAATTCTAGGCTCCGTTCCGCCTCTGTATAGAGAGGTTTACGAAATAGTGAGTCCCAATCAAGAAAATGTTGATCACGAAACATTTGTAAAAATATTGAAGAAGTCTGGCCTCCCACAAGCTACTCTAGCTCAGGTATATATAGATTACAAAACACATAGTTATTAAGATTATTGTATCATATAATTCATAATGCTCAATGTTCTCTTCACAGAGATTTTTCAAATCAAAAATTTGTTTATTTTTTGGTGGGCGTTTCCTTCAGGTTGTGTTTTGATTTGTTGATCATTTGTATCTCAACGATTCAGTTAATCCATTGATTATTACATCGCAGGATCTTGTCAGATAATGGTCAGCAAATCTGATTGATAGTAGCAATCAGTCACTTAGATACTGGTGTAGATTATATCCTTTTAGTCTCATTTACAGTAAAAATTTAAATGTTTGGAACTACAGATGTACATGTACTTTGAATTTAAAAAAATAAGCAATCAAATGATTATTCTCTAAAAAACTTCCTGTCTGACAGTCAAAAAATCAATTTTTAGAAAAAGTTTAAATGCCTCAATTGAATTATTTGGTCTACTTACTCATATGTACTTGCTTTATTTTTTGAAGTCAATTGCGTTTCCATTCCATAGTCAGTAATAGTGATACTCAAAATTGGATCCAAATGCTGGAAGAAACTCAGACATCAGAGTTCATAGAAGTTCAAATTCTTGACAAAATTCATGGAATCTCCTCCCATTTTGGGGAAACCATTCTGTTCTAAATGACGTCATTTTCTTAGAATCTCTTCCATGTCAGAATTTGAGACGAATGGGAGGGAGAAATGATTTGTGTGATATGAGAAAAGGGGATTTCTATTCAATTTCCTTTGATGAACCGACAAAAGGTAGGTGGCGCTAGATAAGGCATCTGTCAAACTTGTTATATATGGAGGGAAAACTTAAGAATAAGGCCAAATGAGAGAATCAATGGATTTTTGATCGTCGGACACCAAGGTTTTTAGAGTATATATTGCAACAGTGTATGAAAAAATGGAAACATATGTACAAGTCCTAACTTTTGTCTATTTCAGATAGTTATGTAAAATGTGCAGCAAAGCTGTGGCCTTTGTAATTTAGGGAGTTTCAGCCCTGTTCATTTTTTAGAAAATAACATGACAGAGAAGCATCAAAATATAAGAGGCCACAGATATGATACCTAAACTATGAAACAAACTAAAATATACAAAAGTTAGGACATGTATAAATGTTTCTATTTTTACATATTCTGTTTCAATATGGTCGTTTAATTGCTTATTTTTTAGATTCAAAGTAGTTCCAAACATTTAAAATTTAAACGTGGTCTAAATTTTTTTTGAAATTTTGAATGAAAATATTCAGACTATAGCCCACATATGTTAAAATTTGGGATTGAAAAATATTTGTTTACATAGAAAGTGCCATTCAAAATGGCCGATGGAATAAATTAATTAGCATATTTGTTACTTTCCCTTAATAAAGCTTAGCTTTATTTCCATTTGACAATATGCTGTGTTACTTTCTATAGCATTTAATCACATGCTATCTTTTGCAATACTTATGCCTGGCACAACCATCACCATGTTATTAAGTGTTTTTAAGTTTCGCAAGGATCCTGATTCCTGCCATGACCGTGGTAGTGTTATCATGAAAGCCTGGTATAACCGTGACAATGCTATATTATATTGCAAGGCCTGTCATGACCATGGTAATGTTAAAGCCTGATATGACAGTGAGAATGGTTGCAAGGCCTGTCATGACCGTGGTAATGTTAAAGCACGATATAACCGTGTGAATGGTTATATTAAATGAAGTAGCATGAGAATACCGCAATGAAAAATTTCATCGTTTAACTACCTTAAATATGTAAATCTAGACTACATGTACATGGTACTCATATACGTTGATACATAAATTTTAGATTTTTAACTCATAATTCATTTCCACAAACTAGAATTCTAATCTCATTCAATAACGTTTGATACGATAAAACATTCTCTCTATGACGATCAATAACCAAGGTTAATCCATAAAAATACACTAATAATAGCAAGGGGCGAAAAACAAAATAAGTCTTAAATGTCATATAGAGGCTACGGATACGCCAGGCTTTCACGATAACACTATCACAGTCATGGCAGGATCCTTGCGCAACTTAAAAACACTTAATAACAAGGTGACAGTCGTGCCAGGCATGTCTTGCAGGTCTCCATTTAATTGTACCTTACTACTTATGTACAGATATGGGATGCAGTTGGTAGTAAACAAGGGGGCTTGACCAGAACTGGTCTATACAAAGCTCTGGCACTCACAGCTCTTGCACAACAAGGCAAACCTGTCAATGACAAGATTTTGGAAACCTTCTCAGACCAAGGTACAGTAAACCTGAAGTTATGTACTTTGAAAAATATGACAAGTACTCCAGATGGCATATACCCTGCATGCAGAGTCTAGTTAAACTACACTCTGCCTAGTAGAGACCATATTACAGTTTAATAGCCCCGCCCCCACGACGGGTACCGGTGACAGTTTTGTAATAAATCACTTTTGACCTACGCGCTGACCTTTCTTCCACCAATCAGCGAGCTTGAAGAAACATACGCCAAATGCATTCTAATTAAATATGCGCATGTCATTGGTCAATTCGGGCTCAACGATGACGTCAGAAGGAATGACCATATATAGAACGTCGGTCAAATTTGGCCGACGAACACTGATTGGCGCGGTGAGTTCACAGGTTTATTTTAGTTTGAAAGAGTGAAGACGAAGCTCTCTTTTAAGAAGTGAAGTCAAACGAATGCAAAGGGTAAATGGCATAAAAAGTGTCTTGAAAATAATTGCATATGGAATATACATGTACACGTCAAAGTTGCGACCCTCAAATTATGGAGTTACTTTCTTGAAGTTATAGTGGGAAGCTCTTGGATTTTCTTGTATAGATATAGTGTTCAATGGAGTAAACATTACCATACTTAATATCATATCTAGCCTAATCTGTGACTTTGAGATTTAATGAAGTAAATTATAGTGGTCAACAGTGAATATTGTGAGTCCCTAAGTACACATCTTGTAGTGGCAGCAAGGGAGACTTCACAAAATACTTACTAGTAATCAAAATTGTACTTTTTCCATAAGTTCCAAATATATTGTTTGCGTACAGTTACAGTGGAATATTACAAATATTTCATTCTATAGAAGTAAATACCTGTATGTTTTCCACATGTAATGTTCCACAAAGCCTAAAGGCAATAGTTAAAATGATAAATGATATTTAAAGATTTTGATGATTGATTCTGAAATGTGCAAGTGAAGGATGACAAATTAAAATACTGCTATCTTATCATTTCAGAATTGCCCAAGCCATCACTTGGTGAAATATCAGACTTAAAAAGTCTCAGCATACAAGTAAGACGAGAAAAAATGCCAGACTTACTTGGTTACTCATTTACAGAACTACAAAATTTGGACAATATAAAAGTAGAACTTGTTCCAGAGAAAAAAGGATTAATATTAAAACACATTGAATATGAAGTTACAAGTTCAGTAAGTACTATATTTTAAAGGATGATTAGGTGGTTTTAAAATATCTTCCATTTGACACACACTTGTATATTTGAATGATCATATTGTCCATCCATGTATGAATAACGTAATCATGTGTCAATAAACTAGATGCAAGTTGAAATGATTTTGATTCTCATCATTGAATATCGAAATTCAGTCAAAGTGATATCATATTTGAAATTTAAATACAGAATTACACAGAGAATATTGTATAAAAATTTTAATTTTCTTTGAAAATGTGACTTAGATCGGGTAGATTCCCCATTGAGCCCATTTTTTAAAATCATGAAAAGTGGAATATCTTTTCTTTTTTAAAAAGATCATATTTTCTTTCACTTGACATGTTGTATACAGTAAAACCTGCGAACAGGGAATGCTCTTGGGACTGAAGGAAATTTTCCTTGTTCAGAGGTTTTCCCTATAGTGAGGGGCCGCACTTTCAGCAAACTCAAACTTGCCGAATAAGCATATTTGTATATATATTGATTAATTGTACAAATGCCGGCTCCATACTTGGTTACGTTCTCCCCATGTTGATTTTAGCTGCTGCTAGCGTCTGATGATGTCTAGTTGATGTAATTATTGATATGATGTGTAGAGATATAGTGCTAAGAACTGAATTTGAAGTTTCATCAACCCCATTTTATATCATTGATAATCTAGAAGTTGGACCAGTAAAAGATTTAAAGAGATTTGGCTCAACATGACCATGTACTTACTATCTGTTATCTCCATAAAACAATTGTGTCAGTCTCTAGATTATCACAACTGATTTGATACGGTTTATGAAGGTTTTTTGAAGGGAAGAATTAGTGTCATGATAATGAGTAACAAACAGATTAGTACTAGTTTTAAAATAAATCAGGGTAATTAACAGTGGGTGGGATGCTACATCATGTAAACAATTGGCTTATCTTAATCTCAATCATATTAATCCAAGCTTTCTATATTCAGATATTGGCTTAAAACTTTCACACCTCTGAAAAATAATGGAATATACAGTGTCACCAATATTCCATATTCCTTGTTCACAGGTGAATTTTCATAATTTGCCCCAAAATAGTGTTCCTTGTTCCCTGTTCACAGGTTTTCCCTACAGAGAGGGTCCGTTAACATGTAAGTCAATGAAAAAATATTCGGTTCTTTTGAAAATCATTCCTTGTTCATAGGTTTTCCCTACAGAGAGGTATTCCATCGGACAGGTTTTACTGTAATTGTTAAACTTGATGATAATTGTTTCAATTAATATGATGAATAAGTTTGTAGGAACATTTTTCTGTATCTACCATGTTATTTGACCCGAATTAGCCACTTGGTGGTGATACTGGTAACTTACTACTGGCATCTTGGTAATTAGTTTAAAATAATTGATTTCAATTTGGAGATTCATTGACTAATTATATATTTTACAGAAATTCCGCTCCACAGTTTTACGTAGATACAGCGACTTTGTAGCCTATCAAGAACTGCTTCTTTTACGATTTCCTTATAGACTGATACCAAAATTACCACCAAAAAAAGTTGGCCGTGAGTACATTTTTAAATCTAGTTTTTCATAATGTAATATCACATTTAAAAGATTTTATGTTCTACTAAATTATGTTCCCATTTTATACGCAATATTTAGATAGCATATTATTGTCATCCTTGAATTATAATGTAAATAACTAATTATATGATTAATCATCATTATACTTTGCAGCTGATCGGGAGTTCATTGAAGCAAGAAAAAAGTCCTTACGAAGATTTCTTAGTTTGATAGCCAGGCATCCAGTTATATCAGAGGACAAATTGCACAGATTTTTCCTCACATTTACAGGCTCAGTAAGTGAACAAACTTACCCTAATATATAATTTTTTGTGAGAAAATTTTGTAATAATATATGAATATGGACTATGGACACCCTTGGTATACAGGACTCGCAATAATGGACAAAAATGGTGCAGGCCAGACTGTTATGGTGTGATAATTATTGTTAATGTATTAAACCACCCATATTATTTGCTTAATATGACTTCAAAATGAGTATTTGGAAGGTCCTTCAAATTTTCAGGGATAACTTATGAGTGCCTATGTGGATGAAAAAAATTTAACTCGAAACCTACTTCCTGTCGGCCATTTTGAAGTCAAATGCTAAAATCCTTCTCTGCAAACTTTAAGAAAAACTGTTTCACAGTTGCTTTTAAAACTTTAACATCTTGTTCAGCTCACTTCATTCTAGATCTGATTAGGTTTTGGACCTGCTAGCTCAGTCATGTCAGCCATTTTTAATGTCTTAAGAAGTTAGCGCGCGATAATACTTTGTATCATATTGAATGGTGTTTTTGAGTTTTCATACTTTAACTATTTAGTAGCTTTATAAATAATTTCAGATGTACTTTGTTGTAAAAGCCTACTTTATTGTTAACAGTAGTTATATGTGATAATTTTGTAAAAAGAAATCAGCAAAAACTCATAAGGACTTTTTTATTGTCGTCCATTTTGGATTTTTCAGTCTTAAAATCTTGTCTGTGAAGTCTTGTCTGCGCGTTTTCAGGTGAACCGTTTGGTGGATCAATTTCAAATTTTCAGGGATGATTCTTAGTATAAAAATCTAGATCTCAATAGTTTTTTGGCATTCTGGGTAAATGTCAAGGCAGCCATTTTGGATTTTCCATCCTAAAATCTTGTCTGTAAAGTCTTGTCTACTCGTTTTCAGGTGAACTGTTTGGTAGATCAATTTCAAATTTTCAGGAATGATTCTTAGTATGAAAATCTAGAACTGATTAGTTTTTTTGCATTCTGGGTAAATGTCAAGGCAGCCATTTTGGATTTTCCGTCTTAAAATCTTGCCTGTAAAGTCTTGTCTACTCGTTTTTAGGTGAACGGTTTGATAGATCAATTTCAAATTTTCAGGGATGATTCTTTGTATCAAAATCTACATCTGATAATTTTTTTTGCATTCTGCGTAAATGTTAAGGCAGCCATTTTGGATTTTCTGTCCTAAAATCTTGTCTGTAAAGTCTTGTCTTCCCGTTTTCAGGTGAACCGTTTGGTAGATCAATTTTATATTTTCAGGGATGATTCTTAGAATGAAAATCTACAAACAGATTAGTTTTTTGACATTCTGGATAAATGTAAAGGCAGCCATTTTGGATTTTCCATCCTGAAATCTTGTCTGTAAAGTCTTGTTTACATGTTTTCTGGTTAACTGTGTGACGGATCAATTTCAAATTTTCAGTGGTGGTTCTTAGTATGAAAATCTAGAATTGACTAAATTTTTGGCATTCTGGGTAAATTTTAAGGTGGCCACTTTGGATTTTCCGTCCTCAAATTGTGTTGGTAAAGTCTTGTCTACTCATTTTCAGGATAACCATTTGACGGGATCACCACTTGGTGGGGACATTTTGTACACATATGTGTTCTTGTATTAATTTGTTCTGTTCGGTATTTTAGTGCATTAGCATTCGCTATTTCAGTGAACTTTTCTCGGATTTTTTCTCGATGTACATCGCGATGTGCATCGATGTTTACTACTGAAAATTGCCGATGCATCGATGTACGATTATGGCACATCGCGACAACTGACTACCACACACCTGATTGAAAAAAGTGCGTAAATTTATTCACATTATTACGCATAACTATGTATGTATGTAAATATGTTTTGGAGCGAGGAAATGGTGGTGCACGACTTTTTCACGGTCGCAATTCGAGAATCGTGGTTTGAGTGCAAGGAATGTAGTTTGTGAGGTTAGAACTTATGTTCACGTTGGAGGAAGTCTAGGTGGCCTGAGTTGGTGGTCTGACTTCACTCTCACCATGTGCCTTGTTGAAATACTTCGCCATGTGGGCCAGGTACCCATAGCAATATTCATTTTGGATTTGCTACATCCTTGTATTTCCATTTTCTAGTTTATCAGGGGTTAAATTGACCGACTGACCGACCAAGCTGACTGACCAACACAGCAGTAAATTTCTATTGTTTAAGTATTAATCCAATTATCATTGAAAAATATTTTCAAATTACAATGTAGTTCATACACTATTAAATAGTTTTTGCATATAAGATTGATATACATGTGTGTAAAATTGTACACTGACTATGTTGCTCTTTTACATTTAGCCTATGTTGTTATTGAGAAGGTTGTTTTCTGATTAATTGAAAAGAATTTTTCTCAAATGATAAACTTGTAGGATTTCCAACATAAGCTACGGGAAACATTTAAAGGCCAACCTGATGAATTCATGACAACAAATCTCACAACTAAACCCAAGGTAGAGAGGGACATCCAAGTTTGGATTTATTTGGGGTGTGGATTGATGTGTGCTTTCTCTCTATCAACTTGAACTGTTGGCTTTCATAATCATATGTCTTTTTTAACAATTATTTAAGATGCCATAGCACTAAGGAAATGACAAAACAGAAAGTTACAAAACCATGCTGCATTTGTGGACATTTTTTGAACAAAGATAATAGAGTTGTGTTTTGACCTTCTTGTTTTGTCATTTCCTGTTAAGTACCATGGCACCTTAATAATTAAGGTGAAACTTGGAGTAATATTGAAGCATGAGAAAGGACATGGTAATTGTACCATGCATACGATCTCATACTTGATGTTTATTAATTTCAACAATATTGGCCCATGCACCTTGTGTTTTGGCACATGTTTACTGGTGAATGTTCAATATATTTCCATGCATGTTGGTATTTTTATAACTAGGCTCTAGTCCATTGAGTTGTTTTACTATCTCTTGTTTCCAAGTTTCATAATAATACTATCTTCCGCTATGTGGTATTTGTAATGTAATATCAGTTTAATATATGCAACTGAGTTTGTCTGCATATATAGGTGTGATATTGATTATGAAATAACATAGAGCTGGAGACGCAATAAGTGAATGAATCGGTTTACTCTAATTAACATCACATAATTTAATAATTGATATCTCTCTACATATTTATCAAGGACCAGGCTTGCTGTGATAATACTAATAATGTAATATTTGTTAACTCAAGTATTATACAGCAACATTTTAATGTTAGTGTCTAATTGAAAGCCCATGTTGGTATCTAATTTGAAGGGTGTTCAATAATAATGCTTTTTAGTACAACTATTTCTTATATACCAATGTTTTGATTATTTGGTCAATCCATTAGTCCTGAGATTTTTGGTCTTATATACAAGATACATCATACTCTCCTAATCTTATGAAGGCATAGGTACTAGGGACCAACAATTGGATGTCTTACTTCAAATTGTAAAATCCAATGTGTGCACTACTTCAATCAGTATATAGATGGCGTACATGTTACTATTACAAAACCATCAATCTCCGGATATTAAACTTATTTCATTCTACCTGAACTGACAAAAGTACTTAAAAGTGTGATGTATTTGAGTCTCATCTGTATAAAACTTTTTCTCATATATGTATAACTGTATAACTGTCCACTCTTCCTATTCTATATTATGAATTATAAGAAAGGGACAATTGTTTAAATTATTTGATGTTAATTAGAATGATCATAATTTCCTTAATATGTTTTAATTCACTTGAATGGTGTGAAATGGATGATGAGGCAGTTGTTTATGCTGGTAGCTTCATCAACCATTTTAGATTGTCTTTTTACTTTTACTTATTTAGGAGTTGGAGTTTACAATTAACATCTATTTTCTCTGTCTTTTCCTGGCACTTAGAATGAACAACTCTGAAAATTCTTCACTGTATTCATACTTGGAGAGTATAATGTGAAGAAGTTTGTGTATGATTGATGTGTCATATGTTGGGCTCATAAAAACCTTTCCTTATTTTCTTCATACTATTAGGACTTTCAACATAAACTTAAGGATCATTTTCGGGGAATGATGGATGAATTTATGACGTGTAATGTTGGAGATAATGCAAAGGTATATTGTATGTACACTTTAGTACAACGAAAGTCAGGGATTTTTCATATGAGCTGGTCTTTATCGTGAATTCCATGAACCATGGCTTTTTAGTTGCACATGTCTGTTTCTCATTATTTATCACAACTGCCATTCTAGGAGATGCTCCAGGATGACTTGTGTCTACAGTAGTACCTGTATATCAGAACACCTCTATTCGATCCAATATCAATATGACTCCTTTTTATCCCAATTTTGTTAGTTTCCATTGCTCATTTATTAAGACGCCGTAAAATATGAATACCTGTTATGTGAACACTCATGGCTGGTCCCAGAGGCATTCAGACAAGACAGGTTTTACTGTAGTTGCTTTTACTGAGCAGCTGAATTCCAGCAGCACCAGTAGGATTCCTGGGTAGTATGTAAATATGTAGTCTGTAACATATTAGGATATATTACAGCCTCAATTAAGCATTCAATTCATCATATTAAAACATATTTATTCTGGTACTATTAGTCTACAAGCCATAGATTTCCATATTTTGATGAATATTAAAATGAGAACAAATTTGGTCTATAATATAAAGTAATATGTAAGACTATGTTGTTTACACAAAGAACAACTAGGTGTTCTGTTTGCTTGGCTTATTATATGTGAGACATGGTGAGCAATTATCATCCATTTTGTACAACTGTGGCTGCTTATGGAACACTGCCAATGTGTGTGTGGGGGGGTCTATTTGCAACATGGGGATCAATTTCTGGTATTGTGGTAACCAAGAATCATTTAAAAGGGCTCTTTCTCTGTCCCCAAATACCAAAATATTATAAAAGCCTTTAATTTGCAATCTTTGATATAAACCTTCATTTCTGAAAATATTGAAGTTTGAAAAAATTGCTGGCCTAGAGAAAATGGCATGTCAAATGAAATCTCTTAAAAGTAATACATTGTAGCTTTAATATATTTTAAATTTAGGTATTGAACATTTGAATGGTTTTCTTGAAATATAGGAAAGTCCGAAATGGCTACCCGAATATAGGAATATGTGGAAGTGTAATCAATTATGCACTTTTTAGAAAATAGATAGAGTATGGCAAGAAATGATATGATCTCAAAATTTTCTAAAACAGACACTATTTGTGTTAAGGTTACTTGCTAGATTTGGTACTACCTTTAAGAGAAACAAAGTCTATTGTAGGTTGTTCTGGAGTTTTAATTGCACCCTAGGGCTGTAGTTCCAGGCTGTAGTTCCATTTTAAGATGGCCATTTTGGATTTTCCAGTCAAATGGTTCGATGTATTGATTTTAAATTTTCAAGGGTGCTTCTTGATGTATAAATTGATAACTGGTTAGATAGTTGGCTTGCTGGGTACAACATTTTGGATCAGAAAAATGAGTCCCTTTAAGTGATTATAATTTAAAAAATGATATTTGAACTCTGGTTGCATAAGCTTTAATTGTAGAGCAAAAAGACCTTGATTCCCCCCCCTCGAATATAAAAATATAAGCTTGAAACATAATTGCTTGAACACATATATGAGCTGAGTATAACCAGGGATCTGGGATTTCTAAACTCAATGTGCTTTTACAATCACACTAGGATATGCAGCACAAATTGAGAGATTCATTTAGAGGGTACCCTGATGAATTTGTCACCACAGATCATGGCCGCAGTGCCAAGGTAGGCCAAGTGAACCATAGTTATCTTGCCCTGCTTTAATCCTAGTCCAGCTTTTTACACCTTTCATTTATTTTTTTAATTGAAATTCCAGTTTGATGAATGCATTTTTGTATTTTATTCTCTAATACTAACAGATTCATCCTTGAATCATACTATTAATTGAGACTAAGTATAAAGGTTATGGATCATAGGATTCCATAAACAAAATATTCTTCATTTGTGTGGCAATCCACATTGCATTGTATATATTGGCAACAGATTTTTAGTATAACAACAAAAACACATCTTTAAGTAATTCAGTAGTTGTGTACTTTCTGTCTGCAAGATATAAATATCTTGCCTTAAGTCACCTCTTCTAATATTCTCAACATTCAGATTAGTAGAACAATTCTCCAAAAATTTTAAAGCTAGGCAAGAATAAACTATGTTTACATTATACGAGATGTTTTATGTTGTAGGACATGGTGCCAGTTGACACCCAGTTACAATTTGGCAACAGCAAACAACACTTACGTATTCTCTTTGATAGCATCACCAAGTTAAAGGAAGTTGCAGAGAGAATGGTGCTCTATACACAGGGATTTGCCTCAGATATGCTCAAGTTTGGCAAAGAATTAAGGTTTGTTAAAGGTTTACGTTTTCAGTTGTTTAACTGCAAACAAGAAATGTTAAATCTACATTTTCTCAGATGGAAAGACAGTAAGAATATATGGGACTAAAATGAGCATGAAATGGAATGATATGATTCTTAAGATTGAATCTCTAATTAAGTTCTCTAATACCCCTTTTGTTTTTCAGTATTCTTGCTGCAGATCAAACCCCGATATCAATGTGGGCCACTGGTAACAATACCACATGGTACCACCTAAAGAAAGGTTTCAAAGTACTCTCCATAGAATATGCAACATTGAGTGACAAAAGCTCTACCCAGTCAAAGAGGGAAGATGACGCTGTTGTAGAGAGGTTAAACCTATTTCTGGATATGCTGTCATCATACAGGGTAAATCAAAGAATTTCTTTATAGCCTTATTTATTAAGCACTTTTTGATGAAATAATATTCTGTCAAAGGATTATAGTTTACTAGATGTAAAAATGATTAAATTTGGAGGAAATGTAGAATGTCACTCCACTCTTTTGTGACTTTGAAGTCATGTCTGCACTTCGCAGTTCAAAATCAATATATATCTATATTAATTTGACACCACCTTCTTATTTTCGTCACTGACATTTTATTGTTTCTCAAAACTAATTCTCTCAAAATCAGCAAATTAGGGTGATGAGCAGGGGAATACTTTAGGGAATTTCAGTCGTAAAAACATAACGGGTAACTTACACTTCCTCCAAGTGAAATTATTTTTCTTAATTAAATTCTAAACTGTACATTTTTTAAACAGTGTATTTCAGTAGGATTTACTCATTTAAAAACTAAAACCAAACCCCTTAAACGCTTAGCCCTTCAAACCATGAATATATTACTGTTTCACTTATATTCTGTAAAATATTTCCTTTGAACCACTTGGTGATGTTGTTTGATGATCATCATTTCAGGAATTGTGTGATAGGCATGAAAAAGGAGTTTTAAATGACCATCAGCGAGCTATAGCAAAAATGGGTCAATATAAAAAGAAAAAGATGTCTGCTACAATACAGGGTGCTCAGGAGTCACATACCGTTGAACAGTTGGAGGGACGTATATTAGAGGTAAATATACAGGGCAACTCAAAATGTCAAGAAGGCATTGATTATTTTGACACACATGATTTATCTGCATTGGATCTCCGTAATAAATGATGTGAAGTATTCTCTATGATCAGTAAATTGACTCTTTAAGCTCGGTGTCAAAACAATGTCTTAGTTTAATGTGTTTTTGTAATGCTGTGCAGTGCATGTATTTCAGCAATACAGAGTTTATAAATCTTCCATCTTTCCTTTAAAAATCTGCTGCATTTTGTATTTACATTCATTGATTGTATATTTCTTTGCAGCAAGAAAGTCAAATAATGAATATGGAGAACCGGAACTATTTTTCCCTGCATTGTCTTCAAATGGAGACCCAGTTAATCCATGCCAACCTGGACTTATTGTTTACTGCCATAGAAAGCATGGTGTTTGAGGAGGCCAAAGGACACCTAGAGGTACGAAACATAGCACAATGTGGAATTTTATAGTGAATCTGCATTAGGTAAAAAGTATTGTGAATATACATGCAATTAACAGCTGGATGTTGCATCCTGTTGAAATCCTGATACAGATAAACAAAATCTACATAGATAAATATTAATTTAAACATCATGACCTTTTTCGGCCTTCACTATAATATTCTACAGTCACAGTGTTCAGGGAATCCTGATGTGGTATGGTTCTTAAGCTCATAGTCAGTGGTCACCAACAATGACATTGTACTAAACTATGGACTTGTCAAGTCACCTCTAATAAGATGAGAAATTTATTAGATTTTTATGTCACCACCACAAGTGGTGATATATTGTTATAATCTTCGACTTTTTTGTGGCGGCAGTTGGACTTTGGTGGTTGGTGTTTAGTGGTTGGTGTTCAGTGTCTAACAAATAGCAGGTGGTGACATTTTGCATGTTAATGCTTTGTTTTCTGTGAGATCAGGTTAGAATGGTATGAAGACAAATATGAGTATGCAATTTTTTTAATGTTTTTCCAGTTAAGCCAAACTTGGGAACAAATTAAACCTATAGTGTGCCAGCTTTTGCCTGCTGATGCTAGGAACAGCAATAATAATACTTCGCCCAGAATGTCACCTCTCGCCTCTCCCACATTGGAGAAACCTGGAATAACAATATAACACAACACAGTTGCCACTACCAGATAGATTAGGCCATGCAATGATAGTGGCTATGTAACATTACCAGCTGGGTTACCATGCAACATAGTGGCCACGTGACATTATGAACTGGATATCGCCACATACGTAGTGGTCCTGTGATATTACTAGCTAGATGTTGCTAGTGGCTATGTGACATTATTAACAGGATGTTGCAACATAATCTAGTGACCATAACCTGTTGGATGTTGCCATGGAACATAGCGGCCATGCTGCAATATCAGCTGGATGTTGCCAATTATAACATAGTGGCTATGTGACATTATGTTGGATGTTGCCATGATACAACATGATAGCCATGTGTCACTATCAGCTAGATTTGGCCATATATTACTCACTAGTCATGCAGCTATGCTGATTTCATGCCACATCAGAATAGAAAAATATTATTCTGCGAAGTTCATGATGACCACCACTTGACTGTCAAAGAAAATTTCCTTTTTAAAGCATAACTTGAGAATAATAACTTAGATCTGCATTAAATAAGTTCACTAACACTATTAACTGACTAAGTTCATTGAAAAAAAATATTGATATGGAAAAAGTTCACTTTATGGCTGTTGGCTTGACTGAAATCACCATGTGAGCCCAGAACCATGTAAGCCCAGCACCAATTGTACTATTGCCAATGTTACTAGGAGGCATTTTAGGTCCATGTATTTACTTGTTACAGTTCTAGATCACTGATAGTGAAATGGAAAATTGAAATTATATATTGGAATCGAGATGGCTCCTATGAGAATTCACACTGGCATAAAATAAACCTATGAACAATGACACAAAATAAGTCTCACTTTCAAAACACTATACCATAAGCCTGACTCTCAGGGCACTGGCATGAAATAAATGAGCCTGATAGCACTGGCATCAAATGTGTGTGGCCATCCGAGCATCTTGAATGAAGCAATCATTACCATTGGAACTCTGGTATAATGTAGAAGATACTGGTATAATTCATATTTTGAACACAGACTGGTGGTGGTGTTGACCAATAAGAATATTGACTTAATCTGCTGTATAGACAATATATATGAGAAGTAAAATGATTGTCATAAATACACAAAATGGCTTCACATATTCTTTTGATTGAATGAGACTACATCTGCTTGTATGTAATGTCTGTAAATAGTGACGATTCTTCAAAACATTGTGCTTATGTCACCTTGAAATTCCCAGTCTTCATATTTTTGTGACTTTTCTATGATGAATCTTTGCAAACTTAATTCTGTATGCCTTGTTTCATAGGCTAGTTGCTGTAACATCGTAATAATAACTTCTTTATTCAGTATTTTATGAAGGGCCAAGCTTTGTTTCATACATAATAATATCAGGTTTGGTGTATAACTAACAAACAAAAAACAGTGCAATAAAGTTGTATGAATGAAAAACTTGTAAAATATAGAATGCTTTGTCATTATATGTGGCCACTTGTCAGATGCTGTAACAGTATTACAGACCTGCCAAACATTGGGTTGGTGAAGTTCATGAGAACTCAAAACATGCCTGGTGATCAGGTAAACTAACTTCATATGCTTCTTAATGTCTATAATATCCTTCAACTGGACATCACTGCACAACCTCTTCTATATGTGCCATGTATGGAGGTTAAGAAAATTCTCACAAACTTCACCAACTGTATGCTCTGTAATGCTGTTACATAAAATTGTTTTGGTAAATAGATCCAAACATGTGAATATGTAAATATAGTGGATCTGGCAACAGTCATGTCCAGAGTAAATATAAACTATAGAGATCAGGACTCAGAAAAAATGATTGATACTATTTGGTGAAATGTTTGAGATTATTTGTCTGTATAATTGTAAATAAAAATAAAGTATTGTACAGTTCATATTTAATTTTATATAAATATTTTTTCTTTGTCATTGCAATTCTCAGTTCAAAAACTAAAGGTTAGTGAGCAATTGTAGTTAATTATAAAATACATTAGTGTGCTGAAATATATATTTATTCTGGACTATAAGGATGATGTTTGTAAATCTTTGAATCTACAGCTGAGAGAATATGGTAATATGGTGTTTTAAGGGCTCTCAAGCAAATTATTAGAAAATGCAAGTTCAGCAATCTGTTATCAAAATAAGTATTTACAAGATAAGAAAATAAATTCATCATAGACAAAATTATTCTAAAAAGTGGAGATAATTATTCATGTATGAAAGCATTTTTTAGAGATATGATTCAAATTATGGAAAAGACTGAAATCACAAATTCAGAATCTTGCATTTCTGGACAGTTATCTCAAATTATGATCAAACTTACTCAAATGTCTCACATACAGGGTGACTGGAAAAAAGGAGACCACTGAGGTAGGCAATATCTCCTAAACTAGACAAGTGACATCAATGAAAATTTGCACACATAGAACAGTTCTATGGAAATTTGTTCCTGAAAGTTTCAATATAATCGGTCAACTGGTTCAGGAACTGTGATCATTCACATTACATGTAAGCGAGTTACATAAACGGATCTGTTTTCGTAACAAAATGGCGCAAACAATGTCGAAACATTTTTGTTTTTTTCTATGATTTCACGAGATATAAGCAGAATCACCACTATCTTTTTTGCACAAACGCGTGTCAGAGTCTTTATGTTTCAGAAAATCCAAACTTTGGCGAATGTATTTCCTTGTAAGGCTGCAAAATCATCAATAAACTTCCTCACCTAAGTTACGTAAATGAATAGACTAAGAAGTGCAGCAATAACGAAAACGATGAAAATTATATTATGTTAACAGGATTTCAACATGATAATTCTCTAGTAAAGTTATGTTTACATGTTCAGTTGATAAAGTTGGCAACACAAATGTTATAGAATTTGTTCTAACGTTCACTTGCAGTCCACAATCGTTAAATACAGCCATTACTTGACCTACCTGGACCTCCGAATGTAAAACTAGAAAAATAGCAAATGTACGGAGTAGCAAATCCATCCGCAGCGGAGTAGCAAACCCCAACAAACAAAACCTATTTTGATGTGATACGATCCCATTTGTAAATACTTTCTTGAGCGGATGTCTCATGGCGATAAATCATTATCACATAAATTTGCACTCAATCCTATAATGGAAGCCATTTTTAGTTGAGCAGTTATCTTAAAAAGTCCTATGTCCGTAAAGCATTAGCATGTGAAATTTGAAACAAATCCGTCTACAGTTAGATTACATTTTTACATAAAATGTCAGCCATTTTTGAAATTTAGCTGCAATCTTGAAAATTCTTGAGCAGAGCTCAATTGTCCCTTGGGCATTTGAAAGTTCACGCCATTTTGAAGTGGGTGACAATCTTGAAAATTATTTAATAAATTGACTTTCTATTTCTACGACTCTTGGACATCAGCAAACAAATTGATTATATTTTTAATCAAAAATGCAACGACCATTTTTAAAGATTACTTTTTAAGCACAGCACATTTTTACGAGAAATAACAACAAGTTTGAAAATTCAACGCACTGGTCTGGTGCATGCAAAATTTCCATAGAACTGGTCTGTGTGTGCAAAATTTCATTGATGTCACTTGTCTAGTTTAGGAGATATTGCCTACTTCAATGGTCTCCTTTTTTCCGGTCACCCTGTACTTTATATATAGTCTGATCAGTCAATAAAGAATATACAGGGCGTATCAAAAAAACGCAACAAGTAGTTATCTCGTAAAATCACAAAACTAGTGATGACAACATCAATTTCATTTAATGTACCATAAAGCCATGTCTCTCCTCTTTGCAATGATATGTCATTCGTTCACGTGTGGTAATGGTTGGGTGAGAAATCCTTCCATTTGCACAGTGGGTCAAAATTGGCTCTGCGCCAAGTTTTAGATATTGAAAAAATCAATGCAAGGGCTAAGTGCCAATGGAAGTTCCCCTGACTTGAATTGTTGTGACTTTTTCTTTTGGAGCTATCTCAGGAGCATCTGTGCTCGCAATTCCTCCACCAGATATTGCAAAACCTCGAGAAAGATTTACTCATGGGCTGCTTTTCTTTGCTTTAACCCACACATGATTCAGGGCTGAACCATGCATGACGTGGACAGATGAGCGGATCTTTATGTGCAAGGAAGTGGTGGCAATTTGGAGGGGTATAGGATGTATTCTTGCAAGAGTATGAGTATGAACACTTAACTGTCTATGCCATACCAGTCACACCTTCTTCCAATAGCCTCTATGCCCCTTGTACTGACTTTTGCAATGTTTTAAACTTGGGTCCGAGCTGAATTTTGCCCCACTTTGCAAATTTAATGATTATTCGGCCAGAGATGACTCCCTGTCAATGAATGATATTCCATTGCAAAGAGGAGTAATTTGGCTTTTTGGTACATTGAATTAAAAGGATGCAGTCAGCATTGGTTTTATGTTTTTGTCCAATATTGCATTGGGCTCCGTACACTGACTTTTGCAATGTTTATAACTTGGCCAAAAGCTAATTTTGGCCCACTTTGCAAATGGAATGATTACTCACCCAACCATGACCAAATATCAATGAATGATATATCATTGTAAAGAGGAGACACATGACTTTATGGTGCATTGAATGAAATCAATGCTGTTATCACTGATTTTGTGCTTTTCCAAGATAACAATCTGTTGCGTTTTTTTTTATACGCACTGTATAATTCCTAAGAATGGTCCAAGTCAGACGAGTTGCTCTATCCATTCACTCAGTTTTGATTGGATTTTTTGTTTGTCATATCTTTTAAGAATTGATGATGAATATCAAGTCAGACTTATATAAAAACAAATGTATACCTGCATCTCAACTTCAATTTGAGATAAGATATTAGCTCTTAGTTGTTGACAAGATGATTCAGTATTTGTGATCTAAATGTACCACTCAATACCTTTGATTTCAATTTAATAAAGCCGTACTTTGAAGAGATCTCAAAACTAATGGAAATGTCCATCTTCAGATGAATTGACCACAAAATATAGTGATTACTAGCAGGAATGAAAAAGATGACACTTTCTTTTTTCTTTTTAGATCATATTTATTTTTTATTTATTGCACTTAGAATATTGTGGAACACCAATACAGGGTGCTCTTACAAGAAATGTAAATAAAATACAATACATGTTCATATTATGGTAGCCTTCTAAAAGGTGTCACTTATACATTAGATAAAAATTGTTTCATAATTTTCACAGGGATTATGACCTTCAAATGCACTCTTAAATTTTTGTAAAAATTAATGTTTTGGCTTTAATTAGAATGCCTCATTGCCTGCCCACTTATATCTTACTTAAAAATAACACTCCTTTTTGGCTGAAAACAGACAAAACTTTACACACTAGATTTTACCTAACATGGCCAAAAACTAGTAATTTTATGCAGTTCTACATTCTCATACCAAGAAACCTCTTCAACATTTCAAAACCCTCAACAGTTTGACCACAATATAGCCCCCAAGGATGCACTGGAAATTCTCATATCAAATTACACTGACTAGGGTAAAAAATGGAGCAGACAAGTTATCAATCTTGTCGAAGTAAAAAAATGCAACGATACAATAGGCTAATGAGAAAAATGATTGATTTTACAGAAAGGATCAGTTCAGAACTAGCCTAATAGATCCATTACTTGTAATCATGGAACAGCCACAGGAACATGTATTGGAGAAGCCACATATCTATAGTGCCACCTGTTATTTGCAACCATGTTGAAGGGTGATTATATGCAACTTCCAGAAAGGGTATTCATGATACATATTCTAGCTCAATTCTAAAGTGTTCAGATGAGAAGATATCTGACCTTATTGCTTGAAAGCATGTGCCATAATACCATGTTTCTCAAATTCTGTATAGATTAGTTCAGTTGATTGCTATTTCTTAGTGATAATATGGTTTACAGTTACGAAAGAAATACAACTTAATGCCCAAATGAGTGTAAAACCTACCCAAAATACACTGGCAAAAGGTGATTTCTGAGTGTTTTTTACCTCACTGCCCAGTGCCAAGTTCATATCTCTACGACTATAATAGACTAAAGCTGCTGGGACTATGTACTGTATTGCAGAGCCAGCATATGAGCCTGTTATCCCCACCAAAAATTCAACATCTTCTGTGATTAATGCAACAATGACAGGCGGAAGAAGTGTGACAATTGGGAAAACTAACCTATCTATACAAAAATACCTTGACTTTCTTCCATCCCTGTAAAAAATACTTTTGATATTTTCTCTCAGTGTAATCCCAATGATTGGGAAATTCGTACTTAATGTAAAAACTGGAAATAAAGCAAGGAAATACTGTATAAACTTCACACTGATGACTGAATCAGTGTTAAAACTCAGTGTGTACAAATCCTTTATATTGCTAAACGCAAAAATTCCAGTGTATGACAGGAGAAGGTAAAATCCTAGAATGAGTATATAGTCAGCACTAAAGAGAACTTTCAGCTTTGACTTGTTCCTGATAGGTGTCACTAGTGAAGGCAAAGAGTGATGGCACATGAACGAGTAGACACAAACTCCAAAGAAGTTTGGCACACCAGTAAAATTAGCAACAGGGGGATGGCCCTGACCTTGACCTTTAATCAGGCGTATTGCTGCTATTATGATCATCATCAGGAATGCTGAAAATAAATAAATATACAGATTGACACAAAATACGAAACCCATGAGTAATTTCGTTTGACAAAGATGATTTAACATGAGTATATGAACATGAAAATTAATTCATCAAAACTTCCAAATGCACGTGGCTTGAAAATTAACTGATACCTTTTATTTTGGCATAATTCTCTTTAAATAAATGACTGCATGAAATAAATGCCCAGTGGGCTTATTACCTGCCCATCTCATTATAGTTGTAAATATTTGAAGGTATTTGGTCTTCTGCACATTGAAAAACATGAATGGTCCCAGGAGGAATGTGAATGCTGCCTGAAAATAAAATGCCATTGTGTTTTTTACCGTTTTCAATGGTTTGATTTCGCTTCTTTAAAAAGAAATGTAATCTTAGTTCATTCATTAGGCTCTGTTAGACTACAAAGTGTGAAACAAGGCATTAACATGACAAAATGTCACCACCTAAAACAATTTGGTCAATTTAAAGCAAGTTGAAAAAATACCTCTTTGACTTTTTTAGACATTGAGAAGGTCATTGAAGGTCAAATATCAAATGTAAAGTCAGATTTGAACTTCTGAGAACATGTAGATGATTTTGAAAAAAAAATTAAGTAAATTTGAAGCAAGTTGAAAAAAGACCTTTTTGACCTTGAAAAGGTCATTGAAGGTCAAAAGTCAAATTTAAAGTCAGATTTGAACTTCTGAGAACTTGTAAAGTCAAATTTGAACTTCTGAAAAGATGTAGATGATTTTGAAAAAAAAATTTGGTCAATTTGAAGCAAGTTGAAAAAAGACCTTTTTGACCTTTTTTTGACCTTGAGAAGGTCATTAAAGGTCAAATGTCAAATCTAAAGTCAGATTTGAATTTCTGAGAACATGTAGATGATTTTGAAAAAAAATTTAGTCAATTTGAAGCAAGTTGAAAAAAGACCTTTTTGACCTTTTTGACCTTGAGAAGGTCATTGAAGGTCAAATGTCAAATCTAAAGTCATATTTGAATTTCTGAGAACATGTAGATGATTTTGAAAAAAAAATTTAGTCAATTTGAAGCAAGATGAAAAAATACCTTTTTGACCTTTTTTGACATTGAGAAGGTCATTGAAGGTCAAATGTCAAATCTAAAGTCATATTTGAATTTCTGAGAACATGTAGATGATCTTGAAAAAAAAAATTAGTCAATTTGAAGCAAGTTGAAAAAAGACCTTTTTGACCTTTTTTGACTTTGAGAAGGTCATTGAAGGTCAAATGTCAAATCTTAAGTCAAATCTAAAGTCAGATTTGAATTTCTGAGAACACGTAGATGATTTTGAAAATTTTTTTTAGTCAATTTGAAGCAAGTTGAAAACAGACCTTTTTGACCTTTTTTGACCTTGAGAAGGTCATTGAAGGTCTAATGTCAAATCTTAAGTCAGATTTGAATTTCTGAGAACACGTAGATGATTTTGAAAAAAAAATTTAGTCAATTTGAAGCAAGTTGAAAACAGACCTTTTTGACCTTTTTTGACCTTGAGAAGGTCATTGAAGGTCAAATGTCAAATCTAAAGTCAGATTTGAAGGTCAAATGTCAAATCTAAAGTCAGATTTGAATTTCTGAGAACATGTAGATGATTTTGAAAAAAAATTTAGTTAATGTGAAGCAAGTTGAAAAAAGACCTTTTTGACCTTGAGAAGGTCAAATGTCAAATCTAAAGTCAGATTTGAACTTCTGAGAACATGTAGATGATTTAGAAAAAAATTGAAGTCAATCTAAACAGTATTTGTTAAGTTATAGGAAGTTGTAAGAAATTGTTACAGACGCCGGACGCCAACCACCGGACGCCAACCGCCGGACGCCAACCGCCGGACGCCAACCGCCGTCGCAAAAAAACGGAGACCATAACAATATGTCACCACTTTTGGTGGTGACATAACAATGGCAATTTATAGAATTAGCTATAGATAACCACAATTAAAGCAATGTTAATAGCCTCTTTGATACCAAGTCATAAGATCTCATCACTTTTCTTGATTCCTCAGAACGAAAAGCATCACAAGAGCAAAAAATATTTCTTAACGCTGATAGGCAATAGTTAGACTGGCTTTTAACACTATTCCTGAAACAAGGGTCGAAGAGAATTCTTTTTTTCTTAGAAGGTAGGCTATGTACCCTAACTCGACAGATCAATGGAGAATTCTCAATTTTAGTAGAGAACTTTGGATGGAGCATCTCATACCATTTTTTCTGTACTCCACCTGGAAGAATTTTGATGACACAGCCAAAGCAGCGGGTTCCCTCTCAATAAAAAACTTTCTTTTGACAGAGGATTAATTAATATTCATATTACAGGAATATGGGATATAGACATAGACAGAGCTAAGGCACTGTTGAGATAGCTATTACATCTTTAAGGATTTCAAGAGTTCAAGAGTTAGAGTTCAAGTGGTAAACCGAAAAGCAGGAAAAAATTTGCTCGTAGAAGATAGTAAAAATCAGTGGAATAAAGAACATTATAAGAAATATATTGAGGTACAATGATTCCTAAGATAGTGGAGCATCTGATCAGTGAACTACAAGAAGAAGGGTGCATCCTCGGAGGATATAAGATAAACGCAACAAACAATGGAACATCTATCACATTGCAATATGTAGTACACCATCTTGGTGACCCAAGTTCAGAAACTAGAAGCAAATCACCAAGTAGGCTAATGAGAGACACAAATAGGATTAGTGCTTTCAATGCCAGTAAAAAAATAGTGAGTAGTGTTCCAAACCATGAACAAATAGGATTACATGAACAGTCAACACCTGTGAAACCTGGTCAAAATACATATAGTGATGATGTGTTTATCAATACTGATAACAGTCAAATTGTAAACAATAACACTGATACAGAGAATTCACCAAATACAGAAGACAGTGGATTTACTTCATTATTGCAGACTCCCCAGGACAGAATCAACAAAGTAAACACAAGTACACAAACGGATAATAAAGTGAAGAGACACCAGTCTTGTGCAACAGAACTTAAGATGGAACATGACTAAAACAGACAATATGGACAGAAAACATAGAGGCTGCAATGTAAATATTAAGAAACAGATGGACAACAAATCAACTGAGTGCAAAATTGATAAAGATACCAAAGAAACAAACACAGATTCTGATACGACATCCGATGTTGCAGCGCTAACAAACTTCAGTATGGCAACATGTGAAGGGAGGTATATGCGCTTCATTGATAAGATCGGAGAGGATTATATGTAATGTTGTGATGTCCATGACTACAAAATGATGAATATGAACGGAACATATATAACAAAATGTGCCAAATACTATTGATTGATTTAAATGTTAATTGAACAAAATAGGTACATATTCACTAGAAATGATCCAGATGATGGGATGCAAATGATTCTTGTCAAAAATGGTTGAGTTAAGACTGTGAAAATTTTGAGAACTCTATCTATCTGGAATTCCAGTAGTTTTTGAGGAATAACATTATTTCACTTTCTAAGCTTGAAGTTTTAAGACTACTATCCAGAAAATCTCTATACATTTGATAATTCCTATGTAGAATATGTTATGTTAATATGTTATCTAGAAAGGAGAAATAAATATCTATATATAAAAAAAAAAAAAAAAAAAAATCTTTAAGGATTTTTACTTCTTTTCTTTCTAGCCAGGTAGGAAGCGGATGTTCTATCCTAAAATTGTGACTATTGACCAAACTCAAACCTAAGCTTTACTGTAGATTTATCTGTTTACCCAATATTTGATCTGGTAACTCAATTTAGGGAGATGGATCCAAGTAACTGTTGCCTAGCGACTTTAATGACTTAAATTCAAGCACAATACTTACTACAAATATTCTATATGCATTCAGTCTGGTTAGTTCCGCACCTGACCAGCAGGGGGCATTCTCAGGCAATATATTGGAATGATTTGTTTGGTTGGTGGACAAAGTATATGTGCTGAAACATAGACAGAAATTAGATTAACATTCTCAGCATATTTTTTCCATCAATTATCTATTTATTTTACATACAAAACAACCATATCATTAGCTCATATACATATGATCTAAATTAACCAATAATGCATATTTTGCATGCCCCCTTAAACAGATATTTGGACAAAAGTTAAGATGTTACAATTCAATTTTTCAGTTTCAATCCCTGGTTTTCCATTATCCATGTATGTTCAGGCTGCAGTCACTCACCATGCCACATCTCTGAGTGACTTTGGTACAGCTGCTGCGTATATTGCAAGGTCTCCATAAAGATATATTGCCAGAACAACATAGAACAGTCTTACGCCCCCTGAAATACAGAGAGAAATATATTGCACCAGAATAATGAGCCAGATTGTTAATCATTATGAAAAATGAAATGATAAAACAAGACATTTTTTGATTGTGACAACTGGATCATAATTAGGTAAAATTGGTGAAAATGCTGGATTAGTGACAGCTTAAGCGATAATCCAGTCGACTCAATTAACATTTTATTGTCTTTTATTGAAGATTAGACATGGACCTAATAGACCCATTTGTCTTTGTGGTCAAAATAATCTTAGATCCTTAGTTATAGCTCTTCAAAAATGCTTGCCATATCTAACGTGCTTCTTTAAGTTAAAATATTGCCTTCTTTCAGCATTCATACATGTACAAAGATAAACATTAGCCAACTATGAAATGATTCCTTTTAAAACTTACAAATGTTGAAAAAGAGGCGAGCCATCTGTCCCATCTCTATTTTCTGTGTGATGTCATAGAAGTGGGCGCTGTCAGTTGACCCTGAAATTAATCAAAGTGGATGAGAAATACTTGAATTGCGACTTCTTCACAACCTATATTTTTGATTTTAATTATGCTAGAAATACAACTGTGTGATATGAAATGATTTTGTTAAGGGCTCTCCTGATGTTTTAAATGAATGTACTTGAATGTTTTATGAAAAATTGTTATATAATGGTTGTGCGATATAAAAGGAAATCAATAGTGTAATTCTTTATTTAAAAAGGACACAGACATGTACAGCATGTCCCCAACAAAGGGTGATATACATACATTTTTCATCTTGACTGCCTGAACATTATCCAGAATGCCCAAACACTAATCAGTTGTTAACATTCATTCTATGAAACATCTCTAATAATTTCAGATCAAGTAAGGAAACAGTTTAGCTTGAAACACGTAGACAAGGTTTGACAAATTAAATCTTAGGACGGAAAATCTAAGGAAACAGTTTAGCTTGAAACATGTAGACAAGATTTGACAAATTAAATCTTAGGACGGAAAATCTAAAAATGGCTCCCAGGTCAGGCTGGGTTTCCCCGACCTTTCCCGACGGTGGTAACCCTGTACAAAATTTTTAGATATTAAAGATTCAGCTGGTGCTATTATTGATTGAATGGTATTTAATTACCTGATAATAATGGTGTTTTATCATTTGCACCTGATGGTACAACAATTTGATCAGTAAAGTCATCTACCATCAGAGAGTCAGCTTTGTTTTCCCCAGACTAATACATAGACAAAAATGGATAAAAATCAAATAAATTAAAAAATGTTGCAAACTAAGATCGTTGCAAGCAAAATTTGATAAATTATAATGGGGGTCAAAGCTAAAATAAAAGATAGAAATAATTGACAAAAAATCAAAAATGCATTTCTTCCATTCTGACTTCCAGAAGCTAAAAATAATACAAAAACAACAAACATTCTAATCCAAGAAAAAGTTGACAGAAAAGGGTGCAAGCATTCATTCTGATGCTATTTATATGCAGCAGTCACAAAACAACCCTCACCAGCAGGCAAATGATTTTTATATACTGTCATGAAATATAACACTATGATTATAAAGCGGAGTAAGCAACATGTAAATATAGTTAACAAAAATTCCAATTGAAGTATCTAGATGATGTGAAGAAATAGTTGAATACTCAAAAGCATGCATGTTTGAGGAAATATTCAATTGGCAAAAAATGATACAGTTGAATCCAAATATATTGGCCATTAAATGCAAATACGAACTAATTTACATTACTTTGTTCCATGTTTCCATAAACCATTGAACTGGGCATTTTGCTTCATTTAATACACTTAATAAAACTTGGCATATTTAAAAAAACATAAGTTATTTTTATTTACTCAGAAAACATTTGAGAATGAACAGGAATTAGCTGTAGGAATATTTGGAATGAGAATTTAATCTTAGTTTCAGCCCTAGTATCAGACCAATGATTTTACAAGTGGTGATGTCACTTTTTGTGACGCAGATTCAATGTTCAATTTTAAGTGTTGGCTGTAACAAATAGTTACATATTTTCATTGCAACCGGGTGGTTACATTTTGTCATTATTATGCTGTGATAGTTTGTGTTCAACTCAAGATTTGTTGTTGTTAATGGTGACCCAATTAAAAAAAGTGTCTCATTTGATGAAGTTCTTTTAATAAATGACCTACTTTTCAGAATATTCACTTCTTTATGACTTGATTTTTATGACTATTAATGCAATCCTTGTTGATGTAATCTGTAAAATCTTAAGCTTTATGACATGCAGCTTTATAACTGATGAAAAAAATGATATTCTGAAAAATGAAATAAAAGAATTCACTTTGGCTACACTTCCCTTACTAACACATGCATGTGCTTTTTATTTTAGGTACAAAGATTCACCTTTAAATTCAACTTATTAATTCTGTGCTCTAAAGTGTGGCCAAAGTGAACTCCATTGGCGGAGATACATGAAAACATACCATCAGTTTCTAAAAGAGGGCGCTGTTCATCCATTGGGCTATCAATGTGACGGGCAACTGCTGCTTCATTTATTGAACCTTCCTGGGACAACAGAAACAATCCATTTATCAATATTTAAATTTAAGTGCATCAAAATAAAATACAATTAATAATGTGGAACTAAATGAACAAATTGCTAGCCAGCACTTGGTGTATCATTCCTTAAACTATCTGAAAAATTAAATGAAAAACCAAAGTACACATATATTGTAAATTGGCCAGACTGGACAACTTTTAAAAAATTTGGCTGCTATTTAATTTGGCGGATTGACCCATCAATAAAATATTTTGAAGGCCGAGCTGGGAAGTCACGTCCCCAGATCATATCTGGAGGTTTTACCTTTAAATATGAGCTTAAATGTAATAAACAAGACACACAGTGATAAATATCGCACTTTGAAATGCAAACTGGCCACCATGCAATTTACCCAGCATGGCCAAAACCTAATCAGACCTTGGCACTAGTCTGCTCTTGCATCTAAAATCAAAAATATCAATTTAAAAAATCAACTTTTTGACTTTTTCAAGGTCACTGAAGGTGAATGAAAGGTCAAATCTGAAATCTAAGGTCAGATTTGAACTTCTGAGAACTTGTAGATGTATTTAAAAAAAAATTTGGTCAATTTGGAGCAAGTTGAAAAATTCAAAATGGCCGCCAAATTGAAAAATTCAAAATGGCCACCATGTCATTCAGCAAGCATGCCCAAAACCTAATCAGATTTTGGCAATAGTCTGCTCTTGCATCTGTAAAAATTTCAAGTTGAACGGATAAGTGGTTTTCCTGGAATTTTGATGACAAGATTTGTTGAAAAATTCAAAATGGCCGCCACGTAGTTTACCCAGCATGCCCTTAACCTAATCAGATCTTGGTACTAGTCTGCTCTTGCATCTGTAAAAATTTCAAGTTGAACAGGTAAGCAGTTATCCTGGAAATTTGATAACAAGATTTGGTTTATGTTCCGCCCGCCCGCACACCCACCCGTCCAACAGCACAAGACGACGACAATATAGCACTTTTTCAAAGTGCGATAAAAATGAGGTTACAATCAAAATATTGGAAAAATCCTCAATGAGACAGGGACCCGTGGATTTTTTTCCGAAAATTGGTGGAGATTTCATTTGGCAGTTTGTATCAAAATGCGCCAAATCAGCCAAATTAAAACAGCCTTCAAATTAAAGACATTTACAGTAATAGTAAGCCATAGTCAAAATGCAACAGGTCCTTCATTCAAGTCAATGTGACATGTTTTAGTGTCACAATAAAATCAACATTTAACACTTTTGTGTGATGAAAATCTTGTCAATTATACTTGCTATATAAAATATAAATGGATTGTGATAGAACTTTTGGTCAAAACTGTATAATCATTTGCCTCTATATACAAATATTAACAAAAGTTACTTTATTTTGTAAAATATCCAATTTTTCTGAATGGGCTCATATAAAGCTCCATTGGTATGCAACATAAAGATCTTGTTAACATGTGAGTTGTGATTTAACCTTACAAATTGTGATCCATAAAAGAGTTGGTTAAACTAGAAACCACTTTACTCTGGCACTAGTTGAAATTAATTTTCTAATTACCTTTTTCATTCGTTGCAAATGTTTCCAGCGAATCATTGCATTTGCTGAGGCCATCGATTCAACCACAAATGTAACAGTCATGTAACTGGAACACATATGTAGAAACATGTTGGAATATTATATTGGCAATCAATGTCAAATAATAAGTTTGCAAGTCAACAATACATTTAACAAAATCCATCAACTGGTACTGGTATCAAAGTATACATTTACTATGAAATATGGTGGCTACTTTGAATTCACCAACCATCTCGAAATTTTCTTCTTGGTCAGAAATTTTAGCTCATAATTGAACCGATGACTTGACACCTCTTCACTCTTATTATTAGCCAGACTCCCTCAGATAGCCACAATGTACTTAATGTTGTTCATAATGAATCAGCATATAAAATGCGCTAATATTGAACTTTTTCATAGTTTGCAATAATTTTGGCTCATCAGTCACAAATATTATAACCTAAATTCTTACCTCATGAATGCCAGTGCAATAATCAGCACCAGGCCTAAAAGCCAACCAGTTTCTCCAAGTGCTTTAGGCATTGTTAGTGCCCCTGTCCCCACAATCAGATTAAACACATAGATTAACCCAACCTTGAAACAGAGAGATTCCAAATCAATGTAATGTATACTATTTTTTATACTTATTTATAGAAAGAATTTTGAATTTTGACCTTCACATCTAAGATGGCAGATGGTAAGCGTCAATTTCGATATTTTTTGTTTTCATTAAATTAAACCACTTTATAGTTGAGGTAATGCTTTGATATTATATCAGGCTTATATGACAGGGAAACTCTGGAGTATGATCATTTGTTCATACTGTATGTAGAAACCACAGTTCAACAATATCTTCAACCCCTTAAGGGAGGGTAACTGGGACTTTGGCTTTACAGATGATAAGAGAACTGATATTATATGTGGTGATGCGGTAACGTTATGAGAGTTTACAGTGGAGACTGCTAAGCTGTCCAGTTACTGCATATTGAAAACTAACATGACCGTTACTGTATCATAAATTTCCAGTTACATGTACTTTCCCTAAGTGGTGGGAGGTATTGTTGAACTACAGGCACCCAGGCATGTTATATGAATAAAATATCATCATTCTGAGAACATCAATTATGAAGTAGTTTAGTTCAATGATTACCATATGGCAATTACCGCCTGCCATCTTAGATGCGAAGGTTACAGCCGTTACCTTCGCTAGATACTGACCAGTGGCAATACCCATAAGTTGGTCTCAAGAAACATATAAGGTATATTATGAGGTTATATTATGGTTGATTCTGTATATTGTGAATGTAAAGGCTAGAGTACCGACAATTGTCGGTACGGGAGACTTTGCTTTGTGGACAAGCTAGAGGACCGACAAATAAATTGTCATCACTTTAGCCCCTCCTAGTAGGAAACGCTAGAGAACCAAATGTCGACACTGAAGGCACTCCTAATAGGATCTAATAGAGAACCGACCAAAAGTCTGTGGGTCTGCTAAATACAGTAAAAAATGCTAAATTCGCAAGGTGATTTCGTCTTTATGTGCCTGAATGTAAAATCGAGAATTTAAAACTGTGTATTTTCCTGAGTAATGTGGATGAATTAATGGAACAAATGAAGAATAAAATCTACTGGTATACATTATTTCTAATTCAGTGTTTTGTTTATTTTATTAAAGTATTGTATGCAATTATAAAACAAACGTGAAGAAAAACTTAAAAGTTGTATTTGTTTGTTTCAATACTACATGTTGTGTTATAAACAATAAAACATGTACAATATAAATTTAGTTAAAATAAAAAGAGCATTTGTTGTTTTTAATACCATCATCACCTTTCAGTCAGGAGGAGGAGGGTTTTACAACAACCCTAATTGACATATAGTCCCTGATCTGGACCCTCTGAAAAAACGTTTTGTTGTCCGGTACTTTCCCACATAAAATGATTGTACTGTTTGAAAGAACAGACTTCCCTCTTAAAGAAAATACCTCTTCTATTGATGTAAACAGGGGCAAAAGGCACCAAAACGGAGTTAGACAAGGTGGCATTCTGAAGTCTCACTTTCTTCATCACGATTCCAGGTAAACCATCAGACGGATTTACTTCAAGTTTTCACACATGTTACATGGTAAGAAGTTCTAGAGCTGATCAACTTTGCGGCGGCCATCTTGCATTATGGTGGCCATCTTGGAATTTTTTTCAGAAAAATATTGTCAACGCGATTCCACAAAAACTACATAACAGATGTACTTCAAATGTTCACACATGTTACATGGTAAAAAGTCCTAGACCTCATTATTTTTTCGGTGGCCATCTTGCATTCTGGCAGCCATCTTGGAAGTTTTAAGATAAATCTTGTCATCACGATTTCAGGAAATCCAAACGGATTTACTTCAAATTTCCACACATGTTACATGGTAAGAAAATATAGAGGTGAATAACTTTTCGGCAGCCATCTAGCATTCTGGTGGCCATCTTGGAAATTTTGGGATAAATCTTGTCATCGTGATTCCAGGAAAACAACCTAACAGATTAACTTCAAATTTTCACACATGTTACATGGAATGAAGTTCTAGAGCTGATTAACTTTTCAGTGGCCATCTTGCATTCTGGCGGCCATTTTGGAAGGTTTATAGATAAATCTTGTAATCACGATTCCAGAAAAACCACTTCACAGTTTTACTTCGAATTTTCACACATGTTACATGGTATGAAGTTCTAGAGCTGACTAACTTTTCGGTGGCTATGTTGCATTCCGTCGGCCATCTTGGAAGTTTTAAGATAAATCTTGTCATCACGATTCCATGAAAACCACGTAACAGTTTTACTTCAAATTTTCACACATGTTACATGGTAAGAAGTTATAGAGCTGATTAACTTTCCGATAGCCATCTTGCATTCTGGCGGCCATCTTGGAAGTTTGTAGATAAATATAAAATACAGTCAAAGCACTTACCACCAATAAAGGATGCTCTCATTCTCCATATAAATAGAGCCAACTATCAGGCCTATATTTGGCGAAACGCAGGCAATTCAATGATTGATTATCAATCCCCCATTACATGGTTGCACATTCAAAGGGAATAAACTACAAATTAAGTGGATGGAAAACAGTCCTGCCCCACAAGAAATAATGGAGCGACAATGAATTTGAACCAGTTGATGACACCATTACACCAAACGTTGAAGATCAGGAAGAAAATGAATTACCTAAAAACCTCTTACCTGACAACTGGATGAACCAACTTGTCAAAGTTGATGCCATAATATGAATTATCTCACCCTGTATATTCACTGGTGATCCGCTCGATTACAGGTACAATTTGTCCTTATTCCTTATTTCATGCGTTGTAGGCAGAATCCTCTCGACGTTTTTTCTCACAAACGTGAATCAGTATCATATGACTTAGAAAATGTACATGTTTGCGAAAAATAGCTCAGAAGACCACAGAATCGTCGATTTAATTCCTAGAACTTAAGTTACATAAAGGTTTGGGTTAAAAGTGCAGATCTGAACTGTTTTTTCGAAATACCGTTTATGTAACTAAGTGAGGAATTAAATGTACATTAATCTGTTGTCTTCTGAACTATTTGTTTGCAAATATGCACATTTTCTTAAACATATGATACTGATACACGTTTGTGAGAAAAAATGTCGTGGGAATTCTGCCTACAAAGTGTGAAAGGAAAAAGGAAAAATCATACCTTCGATGTACCGAAACAAACCGTTTAGGTAACCAGCATAATCGAGTGGATCACTATAATATACTTTAGTAGTCTTTAATAATGTTAGGGAGGATGAGTTGTAAGGCATACTATGTCATGTTAGATACTATTTTTATTACAATTTACCAGTTACACTTTCTCCATGCTAGGTTCTGTTATAACTTTTGTTCCGTTTCCTATGGCATCCGTGCTTTATACATTTACATTCACAATGGTCCCTTCCTGATATATTTTTTTAGGTTTTGTGACTGTTAAATTCTATAGTATAGTTAACACCACTTTATAAACAGGTTTATTATTACTGGTGTAACTAACACAACGAAAAAAAATATAATTAATTTATTTGATTTTATGAAATTATTTTTTCTTTTCGATAAAACATTGCTTATTAGAAATATATTTAGTTGAAAACTTAGAGTAAACAATCAGTTCTTCTATCACAAAGTTTATTTTGGTTCAGTAGATTTTTCTATACATTATTTTTATGTCACCACCACGAGTGATTGAGTGACATATTGTAATAGCTTCGAACGTTTATCTTGACACTGTTCAGTAGTTAATGTGTACTGTATACTTAACAGGGTGTGGTGACATTTTGCATGTTTCTGCATCGTCACTACTATTGAAAGCTTATGTTGATATTGTAGCAGTGTTTTTTAAGTTCTTTTTGTTGGTACAATTAGTTTCCAAACCCTATACTTATAGGAATGTACTAAAAACGCTTCGACCTATGACCCTTCGACCCTACGACTTACTGGGTGTCAAGAATTTTTGGAACATATTATTCTGAAAAACCCTTCGACCTCTGATTTCCCAGTCCAGTTTTCTAAATGATTATGTATAGTTCTAACTTGAGCTCCCCGTAGGATTTAATCTACCTAATCGGAAAATGTTTTGTACGTACTCTTTCAATGGAAACATAGTTGGTACCCAGTCCTCTTGTTACCAACCCCACACACATTACAAATATGATGGTTATTAGACTTAGTGGAAATCTTGAGAACTCTAGAATCTCTGGTCATAAAAGGAAATGTAACTATGACGATATGAATATTTATGAGTAAGGAAGGTTTGTACATGTAAAAACATTGTCACTTCAAAGAATTCATAATCTACTGTGAGCCTATCAATCAAAGGTGTGAATAGTGCAGCTGAATTGCGTAAGGAATATAAGAATCGCGCTGAAAAACACTCTTTTCAAATTACAATATCTCTAGAAATATAAGACCAATTACTAAGTTTTATACACCATTAAAAAGCTTAAATCACCGATAATTTAAGAAATAGTTCTCATGATTAATGGATTGATGACTTTTACTCTATATTTGACCAGAAAGAACATGAATAACTGAAAATGAATGATTATCTTCTATGCCCATCGGCCGGAAATTAATAAACACACTAATTCAGACTAGGCCTACCCTGCGTGCAGAGTCTAGTTAAACTACACTCTGCCTAGAAGAGACCATATTACAGTTTAGTAGCCCCGCCCCCACGACGGATACTGGTGACAGTTTGGGTAATAAATCACTTTTAACCTACACGCTGACCTTTCTTCCAACAATCAGCGAACTTGAAGAAACATACACCAAATGCGTTCTAATTAAATATACGCATGTCATTGGTCAATTCCAGGCTCAATGATGACGTCAGAAGGAATGACCATATATAGAACATCGGTCAAATTTGGCCGACGAACACTGATTGGCGCGGTGGGTTCACAGGTTTATTTTAGTTTGAAAGAGTGAAGACGAAGCTCTCTTTTAAGAAGTGAAGTCAAACGAATGCAAAGGGTAGACTAGGCCATAAGGATTAGATTATTTGTTTAAGTGCATTCCTTTGCTTGCAAGATTTTAAGCAAATCAGAAAAAA